CGGTGCCACCCGATCAAATCAGAAGGACAGTTCTTCCTTCTTACTGCTCCAAATGTCTGATAAAGCTTCGACCGATTGGAAAATTAAAACGCAAGAATTCCAAGCATAGCCCCAACTTACCAACTTCACTTCAATACCATCACTACGCAGGGCCTTCTGAACCAGTTCCAACTCAAACGAGTCCTTAATGATTCCCGTCGGTGATCGCTTCATCCATTCCGTCTCATTCGAAGGAAAATGTATCTCGAAAAGGTTCTTCCTTCTTGTTCCTAATTTTGGAGACCCCCTCTGTTCTCCCTCGACTTCTGATCTGTTGTGAAATTCGGGTTAATTTCCACCAATAACAGATTCACCGTGAAAACTATTATCTAGGTGACTAGTGTGAAAACGATTGTACTAAAAATCACCCCAAGGTAGATTCCCAGGAAAGAGGAGGGGTCACAATGGTCCCTCTTAAAACCCACTTTCCTTAGACAGAACTACCAAGACAAGTAATTTTAATAGGACAATAATTGACAACAACTATACCCGATAATAGCTATTAAATAGACATAAAAGAGAACACCAAAATATTTCACTAATAGAGGAAATATTACAAAGAGAGAAAGAATACAAATAGCCTTTAAAATAGAAGAAGGCTTATATTTGTGGGATGATTAACTAAGGAGGAGGAGGGCTTTATTTATAACAAAAGAATTTCCCCTCCTCCTTATACACAACCAATGTGGGACTTTTGCCAAAAACCAACAAATCTCCACATTGGCAAATTCCACACACATCTCTAAAAAAACAATCTTTTAATTTGTAACAATATTGACCAAATCTAAACAATGTTTAAACTTGACCGCAGTTACCACTTTTGTCATGTAGATTTCCTCATCCAAGTCTCTATGTAAAAATGTAGTTTTTACATCCATCTGAACTAGTTCCAAATCCAACTGCGCTACCAAAGCCAACAAAATTCTGATGGAGGAATGTTTTACAACTGGAGAAAATACTTCATTATAATCAACTCCCTCCGTTTGAGCGTAGCCTTTAGCCACCAATCTTGCTTTGTAGCGGATGTTATTCTTGTCAGGAAATCCATCTTTCTTTGCATATACCCACTTGCACCCAATTGCCTTCTTTCCCTTCGGAAGACTAGCTAGTTTCCACGTCTGATTCTTTTGAAGGGATTGCATTTCTTCATTCATGGCAATCCTCCACTTTTTATGTTCTGAACTTTGAACTGCTTCATTAAAAGTGGCAGGAACGTCATCAATTGCAATTGGTGATGCAAAAGAGACCATATCAACATAACGAGCAGATTGTCTAATGGTCCTCTTTCCCTTTCTGAGTGCAATTGATTCATGTTACTGTGGAGGTTCTTGGGTCTGAACCTCTTCTTCATCTGACTCTTCTTCTACCATAGGAGAGTCAACATCATTTTCTTTACTGGTTGGGACAAATTTGCTTCCTTCAAACTCCACCTTTTTAGGAGTTCCATCTGTCTGCTCCAATTTTTCTGAAGTCACCTTTCTCAACATGGTAGATTCATCAAAGGTAACATCCCTGCTGAAGATTATTTTCTTTGTTTCTGGACACCAAAGACAATAGCCTTTCACACCAGAGGTGATCCCCATAAAAATCGCCTTCTTTGCTCTTGGATCCAGCTTTGACTCCTTAACATGGTAGTATGCAGTGGAACCAAACACATGTAAGGAATCATAATCTGTAGCAGGTACTCCAAACCATTTCTCTAATGGTGTTTTACCACCAATAGCAGTCGATGGTAAGCGGTTGACAAGGTGACAAGCATAGACCAAAGCCTCAGCCCAAAATTCTTTGCCTAACCCAGCATTAGACAACATACACCAAACCTTCTCCACTAATGTTCGGTTCATACGCTCTGCCACTCCATTCTGTTGTGGTGTACCTCTGACAGTGAAGTGCCTAACAACACCTTCCTCTTCACAGACTTTCAGAAATGGATCATTTTTGTACTCTCCACCATTGTCTGTACGGAGACGTTTGATTTTTCTGCCTGTTTGAGTCTCCATCATCTTTTTCCATTTAAGGAAAAATCCTAGCACCTCATCCTTTGTCTTCATTGTATACACCCAAACTCTCCGGGAAAAATCATCAACAAAGGTGACATAATAGTGTGTTCCTCCCAATGAAGTTGTCTTGGAAGGCCCCCATACATCTGAATGAACATAATCCAAAATACCTTTAGTATCATGGATGGCTGTTCCAAATTTCACCCTCGTCTTCTTCCCTTTGATGCAATGCTCACAAAAAGCTAATTTGCAAGCCCGAGCACCCTTCAATAATCCTTGATCTATCAGTAATTTCAAGGATTTTTCACCAACATGCCCCAAGCGCATATGCCATAACCTGGTTGCTTCTGACTCATGTTCATCAGTAGAAGCTGCCACTGCTGCTGTCCCAACAATTGTACTACCCAGAAAGTAATACACATTGTTTCTTTTTCGGATTCCCTTCATTATCACCAGTGCACCAGAGATATCCTCATAATCCCATCTTTTGCCCTCACTTCTAAACCTTTTGACTCTAAGGTTCCCACAGAGATGAGATTTCTCATTAAATCTGGTACATAATGGACACCTGTTAAGGTTCTGATTGATCCATCCTGATTCCTCAAGCGAATTGAACCAATCCCAAGTGTGTCAAGAGGGGAATTATTTGCTGTGTAGACAATTCCACCTTTTAGTTCTTTAAAATCAAAGAACCATTCTCTATTGGGGGTCATATGGTGGCTACAAGCTGAATCTAACAGCCATGAACTGGAACAGCTGGTTGATGGCGTAGCAGCGAATGCGAAATCTGAATCTCCATCATCATACTCGACCACATTTGATTCTGAGACAGCCTTCCCCCTTTCAGGTTTGCCTTTATTCTTTAGCCTGGGACATTCTTTCTTCCAGTGCCCTTTTTCTCGACAAAAGGCACATTCATCTTTGCTCAATCTGGACTTTGACTTCGATCTCCCTCTGCTTCCTTTATTCTGACTCTTGGAACGGCCTCTAACAACAAGAGCTTCTGCTTCGACACTTGTGTTTTCTTGTTTGTCTTTCTTTCTCAATTCATAACTATACAAGGCAGCAGTTACTTCACTGAGAGACACATCAACCTTCCCATGAAGTAGAGTAGTTTCAAGATACTCAAACTCATCAGGAAGTGATCCCATCAACATCAGAGCCAGATCTTCGTCTTTAAAAGTCACGTCCATATTCATCAGATCAGTCACCAGCTGATTAAAGCTAGTAATGTGATCATTCATAGTGGTACCTGGTACATAGTTGAAGCGGAACAGTCTCTTTTTCATGTAGAGTTTGTTCTGACCGCTTTTCTTCAAAAATTTCTCCTCCAGTGCCTTCCACAATTTACTTGCAGAAGTTTCCTTAGAAAATGCATACTTCTGCTCTCTAGAAAGACACGATCGAATAGTACCACATGCCATTCTATTGATCCTCTTCCATTCTTTCTCCTCAACATCATCTGGTTTCTCTCCTTCAATAGCAATGTCTAGACCCTACTGAAATAGGGCATCTAGAACCTCACTTTGCCATATGCCGAAATGACCGGTGCCATCAAAAATCTCCACTGCAAATCTAACATTTGTCACAGCATTTCTTGCCAAAATTGAAGATGAAGAAGCGTCTGTCATTTCTGCTACAAATTCTATTAAATAGCTGCCAATACAGAATGTCAATTATCCCAAGGAAATTTTTCTGATGTGGAAGATCAGCCTAAGCCGCAACCACAGAGCATACTAAAATAAACCAAGAGCTCTGATACCAATTGTTGTGAAATTCGGGTTAATTTCCACCAATAACAAATTCACCGTGAAAACTATTATCTAGGTGACTAGTGTGAAAACGATTGTACTAAAAATCACCCCAAGGTAGATTCCCAGAAAAGAGGAGGGGTCACAATGATCCCTCTTAAAACCCACTTTCCTTAGACAGAACTACCAAGACAAGTAATTTTAATAGGACAATAATTGACAACAACTATACCCGACAATAGCTATTAAATAGACATAAAAGAGAACACCAAAATATTTCACTAATAGAGGAAATATTACAAAGAGAGAAAGAATACAAATAGCCTTTAAAATAGAAGAAGGCTTATATTTGTGGGATGATTAACTAAGGAGGATGAGGGCTTTATTTATAACAAAATAATTTCCCCTCCTCCTTATACACAACCAATGTGGGACTTTTGCCAAAAACCAACATGATCTTCCCTTAATCTCTTGTTCTGAATCAACACATCCTTGTAAGACCTATCATCCCGTACACTGCTCAAGGTCTCAACGCCTACCCTGTTCTTCCCTCTTTCCTTATCTGAATACTGTTTCATTCCTGTCTGAACCCTGCCTGTTGCTACTGGTCCTCTCCGCGGATTCTGATACTTTGCTACCCCCACTGTTACTTTCCTCCCATCTATCACCGAACCATTAACTTTCTCAATTGCGTTCACCATGCTCTTCTCATTAACGAACTGAACAAAAGCAAACGTGTGGGCTCTATATTTTGGTTTATTCAGAACGTTCAGAATGAAAAACTCTACTGACTGACCCATGGAACTGAAACAACTCCCTCAATGCCTTCCTAGACACTCTCCGACTCAGATTATCCACGAACACTGTCCAAACCTCAACGGAGGGGGACTGACTTTTTGACTTCTCTGACGCTCTCATACTCTCTCTATAATCAACTAACTTCAATTCTTAGCTTTAAAAAAAAAGATAGGAATATAAATATATTATAACAAAAGCTGTAAACACTTGTAAAATCACTTTATTGCTTGCCATTTATTTTGCTTGAGCACAAAAATTTGTATATGCCACGGTGTTTTGTTTGTTTTAAACACTTATGAGATAACTAATATATTGTTTTCTTTAGGATAGTTTAGTATTTTTTTTTTTGCATGGTTTTGTCTTGTATATGTTTTAATTCTGTTTTTTTTTATTTGTGTATTGTCTTTGTAGCATGAGTACTGATATTTGTAAACTAAGGTATCATCACGGAGGAAAATTGGTGAGAACCCCAACAGTTCAATACATAAATGGGACTGAAGTTGAGTATGATGAAGATATTGATTGCATTTGTTATCGGACTATACTAGGATCAGTGAAGTCCTTAGGATACGATATAGGGATGGCAGTGAAAGTATACTATGTAGAGGAGGGGAAGTCTTTGGATGGAGAGTTGAAATTAATATTGGATGATAAACGGGTTCTGGAAATGTCAAATCAGTTGAGGAAGACTAAAGTTGTAGATATCTATGTCGAGCACTTAGATGAGAAGGTTCGTGGAACAGTGTTTCCTGGTGCTCTTAGGCAACTAATAGAAGGTTCCGAACAATCTGTCAGTCAAGGGAGTGAAACATGTCAGTTGCCCCCTACACCCTCTACACCTAGATTTGATGATTCAGACACTAATCTAGAAAGGGATGAAAATCAGAATGAGTGTGAATCTGGTGAAGATCTAGCTGTATTTAAGGAGGTACTTGCTTACAAAAAGGATGATAAAGTACCTTTTTCTTTGGGGAAATATCTTTCTCTTGAAACCCACAAAACCAGAACAATGGAGGGAGACTTTGATGCCGAGTTAATTTTGAGTGAAGGCAGAGAGGTCGAAGTATCCTCTGATGAAGAAGGGTTCAGAGGAGTATGGTTTACTTGTACCATTCTGAAAGTCCTAGAGGACAAAACTAAAGACAAGGTCTTGGTTCGGTACAAACACTTGCTCGAAGATGATAATCAAACGCCATTGACCGAAAGTGTCGAGCTTTCCTTCATTAGGCCATTACCCCCAGTGCTCAAAATCCCTGGTGACGAGTGTTTTGAAATAAACGATGTTGTGGATGCGTTTCACCTTGATGGGTGGTGGACTGGTTCTATTTCTGAAGTTATTGACAACCGGAAGAGGTATATTGTGTCTCTTCCAGATCCACCTGAAGAGATTGAGTTTTCTTATTCTAATTTGAGACCTCACTGGAAATGGGCTAATGGAAGATGGGTTAAACCCTCCAAATTTCAGGTATTCCCTTCTTTGTTTTAAATGTTTTATGCTTCTTTTCCAAATGCATTTGCTTTCCGGGCTCCAAAATTTTCATCTGATGTTTATATCTGAAAGGTGGTGGTTACATCCCGCTGGGGGTATATGCATATAGGAATTCTCAATATTATCTTAGCTGGCGTTTGGTTGGATGAAATTTCTTAGAATTGGTGAGAATTAGAATCCAATTCCATCACTTTCTCTTGGTTCAAGTTTTTCAATGGAATTGAAATCTCATGTAATTCAATTTCATCAAACGAGGGAAAATGAATTCTATCAAAAAATGGATAGAATTCAATTTCCTTGTTGGAGGGAATTGAAATTTAACCATACTACTCTCATCAATCATTTGGTAACTTATTCATATATTGAATAAAAATATTTTTTTATTATTTCGGGTCGGGTTCGGGTTTAGGGTGAAAAAAACGGACCTACCCGAAAATATATATAATTCAGGTCGGGTTGGATTAAGTCACTGTTTTTATTAAATAAAATTAATTTTTATTATTTCAGGTCGGGTCGAATTTCTAATTCATATATTCGGATCGAGTCGAATGGAACTTTATTTTGTTCGGGTCGGGTTTTTTAAGTGTGATATTCGGGTTGAGTTTTTTTAAGTGTGATATTCGGGTCGGGTCGGGTCGGGTTCGGGTTTAGAGTGAAAAAATCGGACCGACCCGAAAAAAATATATAATTTTACCTTATATATTTAGGAATAATTACAATAATACCCATCTATATATAATTTTTTTCAATTAAATCAATATTTTTATTAAATAAAAATAATTTTTTATTATTTTGAATCGTGTCGGGTCGAGTTTCTAATTCATATATTCAATAAAAATAGTTTTTGGTATATTTTTTTTGTAACTAATTAACATACTCCGATTGGAATGTATCGAAATATTGCTCTATCTTTTGGTAATTTATTAACATATTTTGATTGCGATGATTTTAACTTATAATGTTTATTAGCATGATTTTTATAATTTATTGAAATAAATAATCAATCAATAAAATGAAAATTTAATATTTTTTTAATTTTTTATAATATATTACTACATGTAAGTTGTAAAATAAACTAAAATAAAGCAAAAAAACAAGAATGACAATTCTGTCATTTTACATTACTGAAATCAAATTCATCTGACATGTCTACGAATCAAACAGAATATGGAATTGGATTCCAATTTCATTTCCTGCCAATCAAACAGAATATGGAATTGGATTCCAATTCCTACAGATTCTAATTCCTTCACAGATTTTAATTCCCTCATAAATATTCCAACAAACCAAACGTCACCTTATTCTTTTCTGTTTGCTTTCAAGAGAATGTCTCTGCTCTGCTCACCATCCATTTCTCTTTTCCTTCCCCTTCCGTAAGTCGGAGCTTCTAATAAATTGTCCCCCGCCCCTCGCACACATTTAGGCCACTGGCCAAACCCATTTGTTTTCTGGGCTCCAAAATTTTCAGTTTTCATGTCTATAGTATATAGGTTTTGTTAAGTGTCAAAAAAAATCTAAAAGTAAAGTAGATTAAAAAAAATCTGCCCAACTAATTGTGCAACATAAACTACTTGAAATAAATGAATTATTCTCCAAGTTTGCCCTTACTTGAGGCATATAATCAACAAAATAGTGGCCTGCAAAATTTTGTGTTCTGCTCACTTAATTGGACCTCTTTTTCTTTTTCAGGAAGTCCCCTCTTCAGATTGTCAAAAACTGGAGCTATCACGCAACGTTGTCAAAGATGCTGAGGCAAATATTCAGCTTGAAAGTTCTGATGCTGTAAAAAGTAGCAGCAAAAAGCATGAGCTTTGCCGTGTAACTTCTAAAAAGAATAAGATGAGTCCATCGGTCGCATCTAGAGAACCAGCAAAGAGTAAGCAAGTAAGGCAGACAACACCTGAAGGTGATGCTACATCTTTACATCCCTCCAAGAAGTTCAAACATGTAAGCTTAGCAAACTCATACTCCTTGAATCTGAAATTTTTTCCTAATAGCCCTTGTTTTGAATTGTAGAGGAAATTAGAGTAGTGATATTTACTATTAGCATTGTATCTTAATATAAAATCACCATTATTAAAGTAAATTTGCTATTTTTTGGGTGGGGATTGGAAGTCGGTAAGGAAAGGATTAAAGGATGAGATTATTACTTAGAGTACTCCGTTTCAAATCCTTAGTCTGGTTTATCAGGGGGTGGTTTACCTCCTAACCCCTCCCCTTGGAAAACAAATAGGATAAACTGAACAATTTACTTCCTTTCAAACACAATGTAAATATGTTGAATTGTGTTAAGTGGCGGCAGCTAATGTTTTTTCTCTCCAAGTGTAGGTTTGCTAGAGCTCCTCCTAACTATATATTTTTAAGTAAATGACTTGTATGGCTGCAAACTATATTATAAAACTCAAACGATTGATCCACTAATGCTTGTTAATGTGTTTATGTGGATTTGTTCCTGGTGTATGAGTTTCCATTATGTGTCAATTGACCATGATCTTAAAAAAGGCATTTGCTTTCAAGAGAATGTCTCTTTTCTGCTCACCATCCATTTCTCTTTTCCTATCCCTTTATGTAAGTTGGAGCTTCTCATTGACGTGAGTTACAATTTAGAGGCCTACTAGGTTTCTGTTCTTCCTAAACTCATCTCCTAAAACTTATCTCCCAAGAAGATAAATACTAATAACAAAATATAGATAAAATTACAAATAAATTTAGACTTCTAAGACAAAATAAACTTCTAATCTTGAATTCTTTATACTCTCCCTCTCAAGCTGTGGTGTATATGTCATATAAACTTAGGTTGGACTTGAATCCATCAAAAGCTAGTTCTTGGAAGAGCTTTGGTAAGAATGTCAGCAAGCTGAAGTTGAGAAGGAATGTAACTTAGTTCAACAGTCCCATTGTTGACTATTTTTGAGATGAAGTGTTTGTCAATGTCCACATGCTTTGTTCTGTCATGATGAACTGCATTTTTAGCAGTACTTATGGCTGATTGATTGTCACTTTGCACCTTGAAGTGATCCTTGGAGTCAACCTTTAATTCCTTCAACAGTCTCTGAATCCACATTCCTTCACAAATTCCTGAAGTAAGTGCTCGAAACTCAACCTCTGCGATACTTAAAATCACAAACTGCTTTTTGTTTCCCCATATAACAAGATTACCCCAAACCATGGAGCAATAGCCACTTGTATATCTTCTTTCAATTAACACCCCAACCCAACTTCTATCAGTGTATACTTCTACCTAACGTTTTTCACTCCTTTTAAAGATTAAACCGTAGCCTGGTGTCATCTTTAATTATCTAAGGATTCGGTTTACAACCTCTAGATGCTCTTCTTGTGGATTATTCATATGTTGGCCGATAATTCTTACGGAGAATTCAATGCCTGATCTTGTATGTGAAAGATAGATCAACTTGCCTACTAGTTTTTAATTTATGAACATTGTGGGGGGAAAAAGAGACCGTAGTGTCTTAAAATTCTTCCCTTGTACTTTTACATAATAGAGTGCGACACTGTGAATCTATATTACTTTAGGTTTAATGCTGAAAGTAAAAAAAATTGCTTTTCGAACTTGTTTTCTATCCATGCAGGAGATGAATCTGCAGAAGGAACGTGGTATGAACATACATCAGAAAGAAGATGGTTTGCTGGAAAGCAGACAACCAAAATCAGTGCTTCGAATCACCCGATCTCCTTGTTGGTAAAGAAATAGAATAACATGAAGCTACCAGTTTCTGCTATCATATAATTTCATCAGAACTTACTTCTACTGCTGTATATTTTACAAGATATAAACGCTACTGCTGGTGTTCTTGAAGAAATGGTTCCTGAAGACTACAAAGCCACAGAAGCTGAGTCATCTGTGATCTCAGGGTTGGAGCGAGCAGGTTGGGTACAACATAAGATCTACCTCAGTTTAATGAATATCGATGTTGTTTTAGGGTTTATTATAAACTTATGAATGAACCAGTAACTGATATGACTAGAATTGGGACTGTAGGATATTATCTGCAGCTTGCAAATTAAATTGTTGACAATGGTACTAACTTGCATATGCAATTCACGACTTATTTGAACTGGTAACTGCTGAGAACTGCATTCAATAGGAAGGAACATGATAAAGGAAGGATGAAATTTTCATGCCCTCTGTTTTTCTTTTTGTTTTGATTTTCACACCTCTAGTTCTTGATTTTATAGGTTCTCGAACAATGTCAATAGAGAGGGCATATTCTCAGAGAAAGATAACCAAGGTGGCTGGAGAGTCTGGCAGAGTTCTTCATGAAAAGGAAGAGCAACCTCAAGTAATATGCCACGGAAACGGCTCAGGTAAATAATGTAACATCTTATCATGATTCATGTTCCCTTTTTCATTAAAATTTTCTGATTCTGATAATGTTTGTACATAGGATTTTTCCCCCCTGGATTTGAAAATCAATCGAATGATCCAAAGGAGAAACCACATGAATTAATGGTGCAGTCTCCTTTAGTTGGCTTTTCAGGTGACAATGAGCGAGAGGGGGGTCAAGGCTTACCTTTTGTGAAGAGCCTAGAAATCTGGAAAGCAGTTGAATCTATGGAAATTTTCAAAGTCATGCCTCAAAACCCGCATTTTCAACCCTTGGTTAAATCGAAAGAAATCCTCCGTGAAGGTTTAGCTGTTGCTCATATGTTGAACTTTGCATCCTTGGTGCAGAAGACTTCTGCGCTGACAGTTGTTGATCCTAGGAACCTTTTTACTACCATTTTGGATGTTCTTCCTGAATTCGAAACTCTTGGATTTGATGTGAAGGCAGTAAGGGGCCGAACAAGCGAGTTGCTAAAGATAAAAGACAGACGTGGACATCCTCAACAACATTCTGATGAGTTGACTAAAATAAATGAAGAGATTGGTGCAAACCAAAAGACGATGAGAGAACTGGAAGAAAAGCAAGCATTACTGTTGCAGAGGAAGAAGAGTAAAATTGCTGAAATTGCCTCACTTAAATTATATGCAGATTATACCACTAAAGACCTTCAAAATTTCGAGGCCGATTTCGAGAGTTCAGCCGGTAGTTCCTGGTAACTGATCTAGTACTTGGATATTGGTCTTCAGGGAGTAATTTATGCTAAAAGCCGTTATTACAAAATAGATATTTCATTATCAATAAGTGAAGAACCATCGGGAAGTTCTACCGTACGAAAGCTTTAATATACGGTAAGTAAATATGTTACCGGTTTTGTTATTATTTTTTTAACAAAATCGGTAAAAAATTACTTAAAACAATAATTTTTTTAACATTTTCGGTAAAATATCCAATAATAACAAAATCAGTAGAAAAAAATAATAAAACCGGTAATGCAACCAATAATAAAAAAAACTAATAAAAATAATAATATTTTCGATAAGTTTCTATTGGTTTTGTTAAAAAAATAATAAAAAAAATAATAACGTTTTTTCTTAGTCGTGTATTAAGAACCATTCGTATCCTACCCGCCTCAACTTATGAATTCCGAGTAAAAGGAATAATGTCATCTGCATGGAGAAATGATTAACCTGGGGTCGTTTTGACTAGGGGGTTTTATATATAAAAACCCCCAATAAATAACTTATTAGCAAAATGACCCCCCACGGATTATTTGAAAAAATACCGTCAAATAGATCACGTCGGACTGTCTCGCGTTCTGTACAACGCTCGGCTAAACGAGAAATAGAATTAATTGCGAGATATAGTTTATGGACCTCGTGTTTTGCAGCACTCGAGGACTATGCATTTCCAGGCCACAGTAGAGTGTCTATAGGCATGATCAAGTGTTATTTCTGGGTTAAAAATTGAAATTTTTTCTTAATTTATAAGTTTAGAGGTATAATATTGCAATTTATCTTTAAGTTGAGGCAACTTATCTTTAAGTTGAGGCAAATATCGTCACATACGTGATATTTTAAACGGGAAAAAATCACGTTTGAAATGATTCGAAAACATGATTTTGTGCATGAAGAAGAAACTAAAATTATTCTGAATGATGAGTATTAAAACCAACTAATGGATCTGCCTCAATGGTTTAAGCATTTTTATGTCTCCAAAGAGTCAGGTTTGAGTCTCACTCCTCTCACCTGTTTATTGCTTCTTCTACTAATTTTCTATTGGTGGAAAATAAAATAAAATAATTAAAATTAAGAAAATATCCTCCAATTATGTTGTGACACGTGTAACAATATGATTAAAAGATTAAATTTATTAAATTAAATTAAAATTAGGACCAAATTGATAGAATGCATAAGTAGTGCAGATCAAATGCATAATTATACCAGTCTTGTTAGTTGCCACATCAACACTTCCGTTAGATATTAACGACAAGTGACTTGATTGAATACAATTACATAGTTATATGGTCTGATTGACAAAATTGAAAGATAGGCGGTAAAAGTAAAAGGGCTAAATAGTTGAGTGGTCAACAGTATAATTTACCCTTGTTAAATTCATGATTTGAAATCATTTATTTAAAAATTATTTCATATTTACATTTTAAATTTTTTAAAAAAATTATTAAATAATAAGCGTACGACCCCCAAAAAATGAAACTAAAATTTATTTGTTTACAAACCAACAATATATGTACATTGAACGAACATAGTTAATTGAAGTAGTAAGTAGTTTGATATATTTTAATTAAAGTCTTGAGTTCGAGTCTTTATATATGTAAAAATATTCTTATTGGGAGACACACCCACTAAATTCATATATGCGACTCGGGTCGATCCAATTAATCAAGACGAAACTTTGGAACCGAGAAGTTAACCAAAATATATATATATACATTGAAAAGGATCAAATAAATTCATGTCCAACTCACCCACCACATAAATATTATAATTACGTAGCATAAAGCCTTAAAATTTTACATGTTTTATCGACAAATTATAGATTAAGTGGTTGAAAGCTTTAATCCCTCCAGATAAGAATTATTCAAAATAATTTTTTTTGGATAATTGGATTAACTGAATTTAATAACTACGATTACAACTTTTAAATTGATAACCATTCACTTTCTTTTTTTAAATAATATTAAAATACTACTATTAATCGTTTCAAAAAAAATATACTACTATTAATCTCAATTATTCATTTTCACTCGTGATCCACAAAACATGTAAAACTTAAAAATGTGTCAATAGATCGATCGAACCTCTATATAATACTGTAATTCGAGCCAAGTTGGAAAATTTAAGACAATGGTGTCGGTCGGACATTGACAAATCCTGTTGGTCGGACAGACGCATCCAAGTCATATATTCAACCACCCTGTACCAAGAAGAAACTACAACACAAGCTGGAAAAACAATAGACAAACTTTCTGTGACTTCAGTTCTTTGATTTTGAATGCTTCACCAGCCAATCGATCACCGTATCGATGTTGGTGGAGTTTTTGCATGAGATCATATAGCAACAAACCTCTCTGTCGGTAATCAATTTCAAGCCCCTGCATGGTCCGACACCACAAAACATGAATGAAAATTTACATTTGCATTAAGATCTACGGTTTTTATGACAGGTTCAGCGCACTTACATTTGCTCTGTCAAGTTCTCCTTGGACAAGGCTTCTGGTTTGTCGATCTTGTTTCCAAGAACCAGCAGGGGAATGCCGCTTAATGAGGGCTTACTCAACAGGTCGTGGAGTTCTCTTCTAGAGACAGATAAGTTATCGTTATCGGCAGCATCCACAACGTAACTGTATATTGCAGAAAATCACAATAAGAAGTAGTCGACCATCGATATGAAGACAACGTATCGCTGAAAAGTTGCCTACACAAATTGGGTAATAAAGCATGCAAGTTCTACTTGGAAGATACCATATATGTATGTGTCTTACACGACGAGCAAGCACGTCTTGCAAAGCATAAGGAAATTATAAGACCGGGTGGCGTGGAGTGGTGAGGTTTGCCAATTTTAAAGTTTGTGGGAAGTAAACAACCAAAGCATATCCCTCAACTGTGTTTAGGACATGCTGGATAAAAGCTAACCGGAGAACACGAGTTTCATATAGAAACAACTTCCTTTGAATAAAGACACAAATATCATAGAAACATCAAATAACGAAATATTTTCCAAGTTTTCCCCATAAAGAGACTGATAACTAAATAAGTAAGAATGACATACACAATAGCTGAAACAGCACGGCAGTATCTCTCCCACATGCTTCGAAACCTAGGTTGACCCCCAAGATCCCATAACTTTATAGTGACATTTCCTTTAGTTACCTTCCTCATATTGAATCCTACCTGCAAACAGAAGAGATGTCGTGAAAATTAAAAGAAACAAAACCGACCAAAACAAACACTTGCTGCATGAAAATAACAAAATCTCAAAAATGAATGTCGGTATTGGCTCTTAGCCATATGACTTACCGTTGGTATCATATCTTCACTATATCCACCAGTCTTGAGATAAGATACAGACAAAGAAGTCCAGTTATCAGCAACAAGCTAAAAGATTAGTATACCAAACAAACAAAACAAGGTTATAACTCATATCAGTATCCACTTACTGCAATGACATTAACTAGGGATGTTTTTCCAGCATTTTGTAGGCCTATTAACGATAGCTCCATTTCTTGCTTGAAAAAGAGACTACAAGAAATAGAAAGAAAATAAGAGACCATGCAGGAAACTGAATCCAAATAAAATGTATAAGAAAGACTCAATCAGAAACATACATCAGGAGCTCTTCTAAACTCGTAAGGTATTCCGTAAAAGGAATGCAAAAAAGGAAAACGGTCAAAGGAAACAAGATAAATTTGGGGCTGCCTCACCCAATCACACTACACATCTCCCGAAACAATACATAAACAACCCTCCCGCGTCCCGCCAGATCCACCAGCAACACCTAAAGCCTTCCGTTTGTCACCCTCGGTTACATGACAGAAACTGCTCTTTGGCAGTTTGCTAATTTGACTTGAGAAGAAAACAAGGATGGAAAGCAGTGAATGACGCTGTTCTAATTCATTATGCCAACGAGGAAAAACATGTGCCGCAAAAACCATCTATACCACAATCAACACTCTCCCCGTTAACACACGATACAATGGTTGCCATCTAGATGATCCCACTATGACAAGTGATCCTTATCTCAAGCACTTCAGAAAGATACCCTATTAATCTCATACCCCTGCAAGTTTAGCTATTGCCACCAGCAGCAACTACCACTTTCCCAACGCAATAACAAACACTTTAAGCATGGATGTGGAGAACAAAAGACATCCTTTTTCTAGCTATCTTTTAAAAGCAACCAAACCAAGCAACCACATATAAGCATGTTTATAGCATTTTACAGATCTTCTTAAAATGAAATCAACAGTGACATTGCTAATTGTAATATCTATCTATAAGAAACGAATTAAAGGGAAGAAAATTCCAATAAAAAAATCCACTATAAACACATATTCCATTCATTTATATGCTTGATCCAAATAATCAATTTAAGAAATTAAAAGCGAAATGTGAAATTCAGTAATAAGACCGGTTAGATTATACATTTGAAATCAACACGAGAATTAAAAAAATCGGGACTTTCTTTGATTCTTTAGTTTTATTTTCTCGGTAATCAAACAAGGAAGGGAATCTGACCTTCGTAGCCAATTCAGAAAAGCTTCCCATAATCCCATCTTTTTCGAATGAGGAAAAAATTTGAGAAAATTAGGGTTTCAACTTTGGGCTGATAAGATCCGACCAAAAAATAATTTTAAATTAAAAAATGGATTGCCTTTTATTCGGTTCTTTAGAAATGATTGAGTTCCCTCCGTTATTTAAATCAGAAAGAATGTAAAGATAAAAGCCTTTTAAAAAGGTCCAATTATGGACGCCACCCTCAACTTCATAAAATCTTATAATTAGTACTTATACTTTAATATTTTATAATTTGGTCATTTTTACTTTACTAAACCTAAAAAAATTGTCAATTTATCGGTGAACATATGAAACTGAACTATTTTTTTACTAATTTATTACATATAAATCACTGTAATATTGATTCCAATATTCAATGATTTAACGATAAAATTGAAGAATGTTACACATGTAGCATTGAATTAAATTCTAAATTTCCATAAAAATAAGAGAACCAAATTCCGATAATTAAATTAAAAATAAATGCCTAATTATGAATGTGTCCCTCTACTTCACAAAATATCGAGAATACTTTTTTTACAATTTAGTCAATGTACTTTACTAAACATGAGGAATTAATCCATTTGTTACTAAATACGTGAACTTGAATTGTTAATTTTTTTATAAATTATTGAATTATTGATTTCTAGATCAGCAATTTAACTGTATAGTCGTAATAGTTTTACACAATTAAACTAAATTCTCATTTTTCATAAAGTGTTACGACTAAATTGTGATAAGTTAAATCAGAGGGACTGATTTATCAGACCAAAAAGTTAAGCGTGAAGTGCTGACAGAGAATGGTCGGCCGTTGGTTGTCACTCGTTGGGAACGGAGAGTGTGCAATATAGGCCAACCGTAAAGGTTTTCTCATACATTTGGCGATAGTTAAGTGGTACGTGGTTTTCACGTACTAGATTGGCAAATGAGTGAGAGGAGTTAGGAGATAAGAACAAAAGTACAATTTGGCTAGTGGGAAAACGATTCTGTTGTTGTTGGGAGACACTACAAGTCCAGGTTGTCCCTTAACGTGTGTAGATGGTATTGGTGTGATTTTAAATTTTAGGGTAAATTACACATCTAATGCCCCAACTATCACTTTTATTTGTTTTGATCTCCCATTTTTTTTAAATTACGTTTTGGTTTTATTTTGGTCATTCACAGTTAAAAATTATCTAAAACAATAACAGATAGAATAATTGAAAATTTAATTGATATAGATTGATATTTCAAAAATTCAATCATAAATTTAAACCGATTTTATTACCAAACACAAGATGAAGTCTGTAACAATAATTCAAACACCGAACTGGACAAGGACAGTAGTGTTTTCCATATCTTTCGTTACTTCTAAGCTGATGGTAGTTGATAATCCAGTTAAAGGATGGTAAACATTTACCTTATAATCACCATGAAAGAGTGAAACTTCAGACCATCCTCTACTATCAGTTCTAATTTCTGTCCTGCCAGATTTCCACTCCTTAATCAGCTTGTCCACAACTTCTCCGATCCGTGTAGGTTTGAATTCCGAATCCGCTAGAGTCATAACATCGAATCCGGAAACTTTGGGACCGCCGAAGATGATAATGCCTTCGACCGCAGGGTGAGAATAAGCCTCACGTAGTATGTCTTCCAAGTATTGTGCCTGTGAGGAACACGAAAGTTCGGACGATTAGTAAATGTATGCAGTTATGTGTGTCGTGATGCCTCGAACGAATGTCGTACCTGATTCGGTCCTTTCACGTCGACTTCCGTGAGCCATATAGGCAACCCCATTGTTCCTAGAATGTCCAAAGCAGATCTCATGTATGCAATGTTCGGTTTCGCGGCACCGAAATGGCCTTGCAATCCGATTGCCGCCTTTAGGCCTTTGTTCCCCGGAAAAGAAAGGATCTTCTGGAGCTTCTCCTTGTATTTCGAAGCAGTGGATGCATGATCCTTACTGTTTTCTATCGTATTGTACTCGTTCATGAAAAGGGTCGTATTCGGATCGAGATGGTAAGCCATTGAGTAGAAGGCGTAAGACGCGTTTTCGCCGAGTTTATCCTCGAAGAATCTGAAATGCAGATTCTCATTCACTACATCCCATCCTGTTAACTTCCCTGCATATCTCGAAACCACTGAATTCAACCTTCGAGTCGTCGCGTTCATCAGCTCGGCCGGAGGAAGGTCTTTAACCCATTTAGGCTGCATTCTTTTATTGTCCCAGAAAACGTTATGACCTCTAATGGAAATCCCATTCTGCTCGGTGAATTTCACCATCGCATCCGCAACCGTATAGTTTTCCTTGCCTCGTATTTTCTCCGTGCTGTACCATTTCATCTCATTGGTGAAACTGGTAACCTTGAATCTCGAGGCGAACCATCGCCGATAACCTTCGCTCGTGAGGATGTGGTGGTTCATTCCACATCCCAATGGGAAGCCTGAATCAGTTTGGTGGATCGAGATCAAAGCACCATCTACTGCAGTTTTATTGGCATAAGTTACCTCGAATGACACCTTCTTCCTACGGACCTGCACAAATCGAATTCACAAACGATAGTCTTGTAACTTGTAAGTCCGCAGCCGCGACAAACCGACTCGATCAATCGCCTTTTATTTCCAGTTTACCTTGTGAATGCTTTTTTCTTGGTGGGATCTCCATTGTTTTGCTGTGAATGGTTTCAATGAAACATTATCAACCCATATCTCCACACCATTTGTTCTACTCTGCATCTGATGAAAAGTGCAAAACAAAACATGAGGTCCATCAGTTCCGAACAATAACGTTTTCCACACGAATCGAACACCGAAAGCTAAACGAAATAACCGAACAACTATACCATCAGAAGAACATCAACATGGCCTGAGAATTCTGCCACTATGCCTCCTTTCAACAGTGACCAGCACCCTTGCTTGGCTATGGTTTCGCCTCCATGAATCAATTTACCACCAGAAGCATTGAACACAACAGCTACAGCCTCACTCTCACTCCCTTTCCCGAGCCGAATCCAAGCTGAACATTCATCATGAATGATGCAATCAATCAACTATAAGATTATGCTATCACGACATGGCACGACCCGATCGAAATTTAACATTTACCTGAAAATGTATATAAGTTCCCATTCGCAAGCGTGACAGTCTGCAATGAGCGTGTTTTATTGTGCACTGAAATGAACTTGCTCCCATTTGTTCCCTGAGTGAACTCGATTATACCTCCGCCATATCGAGCTCTCTCGGGAGCTGCCAAGCACTGGTTGATGGTACAGTTTTCAGTTCATAAGCTTCGATAAATAGCGATTTGTTACATCGATCATAAAACGAACACGAAAGATTTAAAATGTACATATATATTCTACTTGCCTCCATTGTTGCAGAATAGTCATAGGAGGAAGCATAAACGCCACGTCCTGCATAACCAGTTGAAAGTAGAAAATTTAGCAGAAAATTGGTTAAAAAATGCATAAATTCTGCTGTTTTTTAGTGTATTAAAGAAAGGAAGAGAAACCTGAAAGCAGGAGAATGCATGAAAGAAGTGAAACGCAGGCCTCTGCAATCTTCATCTCAACATAGACAAAAACTTGGCCTCATTTTCTCACCTCCTATATATAAATATTTTATATTTTGATTAAAAAGTAAAAAGGTAAATTATCTATTTGTCACCCATTTATTCTTGTATTTATGTTTTGGCCATCGAACTATTATTATTTATAAAATTAAATCTAACATGCATTTTTGTTTCCATCTTTATACTCATCATTAGGTTTGACTGATGACTTAATGAAAATGGTGATGTGATATGATATAATAATGATTTTAGTCTCTAAAACTTACATATTTTATCAAATTGATCGAGTCTCATGGAGGGCATTTCATAATTTGGAGGTCTCCTGCGGAAGTTGCTCTCAACCTAGTGTTGGGGGCAACCTACTATCTTACCTCCCCTTACCCCATTACATATGGGAACAAGGGACAACCATTTTTTTCAATATTCAAAATTCTATCAATTTGATCACCATTTTAATTTGATATAATTATTAATTTATTATTAAGTTAATAATTATTTCAAATTAAAATAAGGACTGAGTTTATAAGATTCTTAAATTTTGAATTATTTTGAATTATGTTCAATTTAATAGATCATGTGAGTTTTGAGACTAAAATTGTTATTATATCAGGACACGTCACATTTTTTATCAAGTCAACTGTTAAACCTAACAACGAATATCAAGGGCGGAGCAATGATTCTAGTTCAAAGGAGGGCATGTATAATTAACAATAAAAAATGGGAGGAGCAAAATGAAAATAAATTAAAACTTGAAGGTCTAAATATGTATTTATTACTATATATTTTTTAATAATAAATAAGGGGGCGTGCGGTGCCCTCGTGAGACTATACGTATCTCCTTCCTTGAAGAGTACCAAATTTGAAATAAAATGTAGTATTAGATATAATTTTATAAAAAAAATTGTTGAATGATCAAAACAGAAATATAAGAATAGTTTAAGTACCAACTAAATAGTTTACCCGAAATTAAAATAGTTTATACGTATTGCATAAAAGCCAAAAAGAAAATCTCTGGTGGATTTCCAACTTTTTGACACGTGTATAATCTAAAATAGATATAGTTGTAACTTGTAAGATAGAGGATTCTGCATTTATTATTTTGTTTTTTTATAAATTATATTACTAACAGGCTTTCGTTTATTAATAATTAATATATCTATTTTTTTATAAATTATATTATAAGTATACTCTTATTCCTTTAAATTTTTTTAATAATATTTTAAATATTTATCAATTTCAAATTAAATAAAATTAATTTTTTGTTCATTTTATTTTTTAAAATTAAATATTTAATATATTCTTACTGTTTTGAGCTTAAACAAATTGTTCTTTCAATATTTTATTCTAATTTAATCCTTTAATACTATAAATAGTTTATTATAAGAACGATTTTTTTAACTTAATTTCCCCTATTGACATCGCCAGAATTCAAATTAATCTTATTTTAATGACATAATACGTCGTTTTATTAAATCGAAATGTAATTAATAATTATATTATCTTTTAATAATCAGGTTAAAACTGAAATAAATAAAATTTTAAACTACTCCATCACATGTATCATTATCAAATCATATAAAGATCCACTTGATTAACTTGCACTAACCCATTGATTACTTGTTGATATTAATGTTAATATTCCCTAATAATTATCGTCTAATGAGATGCGTGAGAGAGTTGATTTTATACATTAATAAAGACGTACTTCTAAAATAGAAAAAAGAAAACAAACCTTTCACATAATTCAATTCTATCTTTTAATTTCACAATGAATGCCATTGAGAAGAAGAAGAAGAAAAAAATTATAATTTGAAGTGTTTAGTAATGGGGTGGGTACAACATTTGGTCTTCATTACTTACATATTCTATCAGTTTGATCGTAATTTTAATTTAATCCAAAAAATTTAATCCTCTAATCATATGGTAACACATGGTCACATATTAAGTAGTTTATTGACAAAATTGAAAGATCATTGGTCAGAATGTAATCCTCTAATTAATTAAGTGGTTATGGGTGTGGTTTACCCAAAAAATTATAGGCACCTAAAGCAAAAACAATTATAATTTGGACACCTATCCGATCAGGGCCTATTGCGACGGAATGCCATTGCCGCAGCAAGTTGTCGACAATGTTCCCGGTCGCTAGGCAGGGGCGTGGCTGGGGCGGCGCGAACCGCGCGACCGCGCAGTACCCAAAAAATCCCAAAAAAAAAGTATATATATAGTGACGTTTTTCCAATAAACGCCACTATAGATATACCTATTGCGACGGTTTTTCAAAAAACGCCACTATTATTGCGCAGCCCAAAAAATACCAAAAAAAGTATTATATAGTGGTGTTTTTCCAATAAACACCACTATAGATGGACTTATTGCGCCGTTTTTTCAAAAAAACGCCACTATTGTTGCCCCAAGATCGAATATATCTAAAAAATAAGGCCCCTTTATAAGAATTTATACAGGGTCCCCAAAAACCTAGCCACAGCCCTGTCGCTAGGTTCCCGAAATTGTTGTTGGTCAAACACATTCTATAGCACCCTTGTGGCCTCCATGCTGCCCAAATTACAATCCCATCTACTTTAGGGTGATAGTGTGTTTCCATTAGAATCTGTTCCAAATATCTGGCCTGTCACACACAAGGGAAATCATTGAATCAAATGTAATTATATGTCTTAAAAGGGTTTAATTATTATTTTAGTCCCTCTACGATGCTAAAATTAAGAAATTCGATCGTTTTACTGGACTTTTATAATGTTAATAGTAGGTCTAAGTTTTGAAATTTCTGATTACCTGATTGGGGCCACTTTGGACATCAACTTCAGTAAGCCAGCCAGAGTATCAATGGCAGCTCTCATGTAAGGAAGATTCGGAGTATTGAAATGAGACTCCTCGTCAAAGCTCAAATCTGTCTCGGTTTCTGAAGGTACTTAGCCAGTGCGGCTGCCCCATTCGTTCAAAAACAACGGAACCGACGGATCGACCGTGTGTGCCAACCGATAAATCTCCGCCGAAGCTTGGTTCCCCATCCTACTCTCGAAGAACAAAAAATGCAGGTTCTCATTAACAACATCCCATGCAATAAGCTGGCCTTTATATCTTGACATCACCGAGTTTACTCTCCGAACGACGGCCTTCGATAGGTCGGTCGGCGAGAGGGAGTAAAGCCATCCTGGTTGGTACTTGGGATCGTCCCATACTACGCAGTGGCCTCGAACTGCAATGTTATGTCTCTTGGCGAAGCTGAGCATTGCGTCGGCCGACGAGTAGTCCTCGTGGCCCGGGGAACGTTCTGTGGAGTACCACTTCATTTCATTTTCGAATGTTGTGACACTGAACCTTGATGTGAACCAGTTTTGGCAGGACTAGTTTAGATCAAAACAAATACCGGAGAACGAATGGAGCGTCTCTCGTTGCAAATTAAGCTTCCGAGTGATGCCATCACTTGGATGTTTCCTGGCATGAGCCGCGATGAATTTGTTGCCACCAAGTTCTCTAAGTTCAATCCTCGCGTCTCCATATGCTTCCCATCCTTCCAATCCCTTATCGAACTCTGGGTTTACTAAGATTCCTCCTTCGTACAGAGGTTTAAGTGGAGTTTATCGACACTGAAAACCGAAAAAGATCGTTAAATGAGTAAAAATGACAAACAAATAAGACGTAAGACGATTTTTTAAGTCACGTATCAGAAGAAATCTTCGCATACTAAGGAATAAAGGCAATGCATTAGCTTCAAACCCTGTAAAAATCAAATGTAAAACATTCACTTAGGTCCACTTAATTTTATTTTAATTTTCATCAATTTTTTTTAAAAGTTCAATTCAACCTCCAATTCCTTTCTGAAGATTCTCATTAAACCCCTAAAACTTCTTTTTAAAAATCAATTAAGCCCCAAATTATTTTACCAAGATCCATCCGTCACTGAAACTCATAAAAATAACCGAAACTACAAGCCCAAGTGTATGAATTTATAAACCAACTGGTAGTATATAATTTTATATATCGGTACATATAATTATTATATATTTTTTTATTGTTAATATATAGTGTATGAAGTTATATATTGTTAGCATCGAATATAATATTTTCACCGTTTTGATTTTTCTTTTTTTAAAAATAAATAAATAAATTATATATAGATATATAGCTGAAGAGGCAGTCATTTTCCAACCATATATAGCTATATTTTCCTTCAAAGAAAAGTTTTTAATGCCAACACGCCTTAGCTTAATTATTAGAAAGGTTTCAATAATTTGATTTGGAAAAAGGTTATGAGAGATCAAAACTATAATTTTTGTATTAAAATTGGTTAAATTAAATCATTAAATTTTTTAAGAGGGGCCAAAACTGAAAAATTCCTATTTAATAAAGAGTTAAAATAATATATATACATGGATTATCATTAATTTTTTATTTTTAATAGAGTTAGAATAATATATATATATACACATATTATTATAACTCTATTAAATTAGGGAGAAAAGACTCATAAAATTTTTTATCTTTATTGTTTGCTTTAGAATTAAAATGTTAAAATTTGAAAAGTATAAGAATTAAAATTAATAAAAGTAAGAGTATAGAGACTAAATTCATAAACTATACACAATACAAGCACTAATAAAATAATTTAACCTATAGTTTGGTCCTCTCATAAGGCTGTAAGATGATTTGTCAGAGGAAAAACGCGGCGTTTCAGTAGTCAAACAATAAGCTAAAAAGCCAGCAACAAAACAAATAAACGGGGGAAGGAAAGAAGAGGCGGCTTAAACAGAATGACGACCCAGCGATCGGTGTTTGACGCGGCGGAGCTAAGGGCCCAATTTACCGATGCCGGAATCAACACTAAATTCATTGCTTCCATTTGGAAGTAACGTTTTCTTTCCCTCTTATCTTTCTCCGCTATTTTATTTATCTCGATCTTTAAATTTAATGATTTATTGAAGGTACGTGTTACAAAACCCTGGGTGCGAGTTTGAGGAAATTCCTGATTTGCCCTCCTCTGCTTACCTCCTTCTTCGCTCCAAGTTCAAGCCCCTCACTTCCACCGTTAACTCCGTTTTCCACTCCACCGACGGCGTCACCACCAAGCTACTTATCAGACTCCAGGTAGAACGGAACTTGAATCATCAATTTAGAAATTAAAAGAATTATTTATGTTTGGTGACACTTTGTTTTATTGTTAGTAGAACGGAGCTTTTGTAGAGGCAGTGATTATGACATATGATACCCGTTTAGGTAAATATGGAGGGAAACCTCGTCTTGGCGGTCCTAGGTCAACATTGTGCATTTCTTCCCAGGTATTTGCTTTTAAAACTTTGATTCTCGATGCAATGTGTTTTGATAATGTTCCTTTGTTTTTTTAACAAATAATGATGATTTTTATTACAGGTTGGATGCAAAATGGGTTGCAAATTTTGTGCAACTGGAACTATGGGATTTAAGAACAATTTAAAATCGGGTGAAATCGTGGAGCAATTGGTTCATGCTTTGCGCTTGACTAACATACGTAATGTTGTTTTCATGGTAATTCTTTTATTTTTTTCGTGCGACTTAATGTGTACTGAAACTTCTATTATTGTGAAGCATTAACCGATGTCACGTTTTGTGGAGGAGTTCCAGAATGCATCGGATTATTTTGATTCATTCAAGTTCGTTTGACATAAATTTATAATTCTTTTTCTTTTTCGTTGCACCTTCATTTGAGGTATTTGTTTCTATTATATTGTTAAGTTCTCCTGTGCTGGTGTTTTTGAAGTATAAATTGTATAATACTATATCTTGTCATGTTGTTCATGAAATTGATATTGATGACATTTATTTACATTTTTAATGGTCATGAAGTTCTGATGGATTGTGGAGTGAAAGCTTTTCATTTAAAAGGTCGTTGAAATTTTCTTCCCGTAATTTTGTTAGGGAATGGGAGAACCATTGAATAACTATACTGCCTTGGTAGAGGCTATTAATGTCATGACAGGATCGCCATTTCAGCTTTCACCAAAGAGAATCACAGTATCAACGGTAATTCCTCCAAAGTTTGTTATGATAGATATTCATACCAGTTTAATTATGTATATTACTATCCTCCTCCTCCTTGTGTTCTGGATTTATTGGCCATGCCGTAGCATTCAATTGGCAGCACTTGGTTCACCTTATTGTCTATTGATTATGGATATGGTTTTTCTTTGCTTTTCTTGAAGAGAGAAATCAACTCATAACTGATACTTCCAGTTTTTGAAATTGATAGTTTGTTAAGAGTTATGTTATTCTATGTGATTAGAATACATTCAATATAACTCCGAGGAAAATTCAGAGCTTGTATTATGTTCCCTTATTTTTTATAAATGAGTTTTTAGTGTTTTGAAGAGGTAAAAAACAGAATGCTTTTTTTTAAGAAAATAAAAATTGTTTATGACTGCAGGAAGCACCCAACTTATTAGCTTTGCTATTCCACCTGATTTCATGTAGGTTGGGATTATTCATGCTATCAACAAGCTTCATAGTGATCTACCGGGCTTGAACCTAGCAGTATCATTGCACGCGCCAGTCCAAGAGATCCGTTGTCAAATAATGCCTTCAGCAAGAGCTTTTCCTTTGGAAAAACTAATGACAGCACTGCAAACATATCAAAAGAACAGGTAGCAGTTTGTAAATGTTTCTTCTTAATATTAGGTTAATGTTTCGAGAATTACACTTAAGCGATCATTTGCAGAGCCCTGACTTTGGTCTTAAACTTTCAGTCAGCAAAAAATATTCATAGAGTACATCATGCTTGATGGGATGAATGATGAAGAGCAGCATGCACATCAGCTTGGTAAATTGCTGGAAACTTTTGAAGTGGTGAGCTCTTATTTTAGCATATATGATATATGCAATGGGTTTTGGTAGGCAACCTACTCCATATGCATATGTGCACTTGGTATATCCATTTGTTATTTCTGGTTAGTGGTTGTCTTTGTTCATGTAGGGGAATATGTGTGGTCCATGGGGATTGGATAGGACATTGTTATTCTTTAATGGCATCGGATATATTCTTGAATGCCAGTGGAACTTGTTGCTGGGGACTAATTTACTGGGACAGCCAAAAATGCAAAACATTGTTTCTGCAGAAGAGATCGTAGCTGCTAGTTTACAAAACATGCAGTGTATTTTAGTTTTATTTGTTCATAAGCTTGAAGCTGCAGTACTATCGTTAACCTACTTTTGAGTTTGATCAAGTAATTTGTGAAGCAGGTTGTAAATTTGATACCATTTAATCCAATTGGTAGCTCAAGTCAATTCAGAACCAGCAGTGAGCAGAGAGTATCAGAATTCCAAAAAGTTCTTAGGGGTACTTATAACATCAGGACAACGATTCGTAAGCAAATGGGCCAGGATATAAGTGGTGCATGTGGTCAGCTGGTCGTGAATTTACCTGATAAGAGAACTCGTGAAAATACAGGTCTCGTAACCGACATCGAAGATCTCCGCATTTGATGTTCCGTTTCCCTTTAAGGTGAGAATTTAAAAGTAAGAATAGTTGAGAATGGATTTCTAGTTTGCAACTGGTTAACAATTTATGTTTTATCTGCAGTCAGGCATTGATCTTAGATTCTGTCCCTCAAGATTTCACTGCATCTACATTTAATTTGCGGTGAATTATGGTCTGAAAGGCGAGTTTATCGATCGTTCATGCCGTGACTTTGGGGTAACCATATCCGGATGGAGCTACTGCAAGGAGGGGGTTAATTATCGTGGCGATATCAAAGGTTTAAATACATATCAATTAGCATGTCGTATGTTAAAGTGTGGAAGTTTAGATGTGAAACAATTCTCTCTCTATATTTGTGTTGCTTTTTAAAAGAAGGTAGTGAATTTTACTTCAAACTTTCGGACCAAATATTTTACTTTTAGAAGCCCTATTTTTGGAGGCATTATCATCTGAAAATTAGAAAATATATTCTTCCTGTCATACCAATCTGATCCGGACTGGAAACAGCAATGGAATTAACTGTCCGGACTGGAGAAGGCGGCCATGAGCCGGCCAGTTCGCCGAGAGCAAACAGAGACAGATGATTGGGTAGTAAATGAATTATTATTGTTTCTTGAGGTTATGAGTTTGAACATCATGAGTGCAAAGGGGATAAACATTCAATGTCAAATGGTTGAGAGTTATCTTTGAACAAATATTGTCTTGTACTTACTTCATATTAATAAAAAATATATAAAAAAACACAAATTATGGTATCAATGTGAACAAAAAAAACTTCAAGCACCAATGTGAAAAAATTGATAAGTTTAAAGGTTAAAATCTAAATTATCCCTAATTGTCCCTCTTTTTTGGAGCAATGGACACGTGTTTTATAGTTTAAAAATCAAACCTTTATATTTTTAACTCCACGTGTGCAATGTCTAGTGTTTACGTAGATAACAAATTAGATCCTATTTTTAAATGTGTTAAATGAAAATGAGAAATTAACTTTTACTCCTTAAATTTGATTGTTTTAAAAATTAGTTTTAAATATTTTATTTATATCAATATTTTATATTTTATATTTAATATTTTTGCATGTATAATCCTTGTGATGATGTGAAATTTTGAAAGGTTAATCAGTAGATATAATAATAAAGTGATATATCATCAAATTTTTTTAAAAAGTAAAATATACTTAGAAACCAAATTAAAAAAGTGATCAAATTCAGGACTAAAAACTGAATTATTCCATAAATGAAAATATAACTACTCATTTACTCGTATATATTTTTTTTCCTACACTATCTGCTTCTTTCTTCTCACTTCCTTCGCTATCATTCTTTCCTTGAAACTGATTCACACAAATCCCAGAGAAAAAAACCACGTGTAAATAAAAAGGGAAGGGATGAAGATGCTGAGATGTCATCTTCTTCTTCTTCATGGGTTCATGTTGTTGTCTTTGTTAATGAATTGTTGCGCGAGATTCGTCGTGGAAAAGAATAGCTTGAGGGTGACTTCGCCGGAAAAGATTAAGGGAACCCACGACAGTGCAATCGGAAACTTAGGGATACCTCAATACGGAGGAACCTTGGCCGGCGTTGTGGTTTACCCCAAGGTGAACCGAAAGGGCTGTAGAAGCTACGATGAGTCCGGGATTTCCTTCAAATCCAAGCCCGGTGCTCTTCCCACTTTTGTTCTGATCGATCGTGGAGGTGCCCATTTTCTTAGTTTTTTGGAATCTTATTTTTTTCAATAACTTTAATCCAAGTGTTTATGATTCTCTTTTGTTTTCCCAGATTGCTTCTTTGCCATAAAGGTTTGGAATGCACAGCAGGCTGGTGCTCATGCAGTGCTTGTTGCCGATAATATTTCAGAAGGATTGATAACCATGAATACGCCTGAAGAGGATCGATCATCGGCCAAATACATCGAAAACATAACGATTCCGTCGGCTCTTGTCGAGAAAAGTTTCGGTGAAACTCTAAAGAAAACAATAAATGGTGGTGATATCGTCAATGTCAATCTCGATTGGCGAGAAGCGGTTCCTCATCCTGATGATCGTGTGGAGTATGAGCTTTGGACCAACAGCAACGATGAATGTGGGGTTAAATGCGATATACTAATGGAATTCGTTAAGGATTTCAAGGGTGCCGCTCAGATACTCGAGAAAGGTGGCTATACTCAGTTCACGCCACATTACATAACTTGGTACTGCCCTCAGGCTTTCACCCTAAGCATGCAGTGTAAATCTCAATGCATCAACTACGGAAGATATTGTGCACCGGATCCCGAACAAGATTTTACCTCGGGCTACGAGGGGAAAGATGTCATTATCGAGAATTTACGGCAGCTATGCGTTTTCAGAGTCACGAATGGGACCGGTAAGCCTTGGATGTGGTGGGACTATGTGACAGATTTTCAAATAAGATGCCCCATGAAGGAGAAAAGATACAACAAGGAATGTGCAGATGATGTTATCAGAGCTCTTGGTATTGATGTTAAACAGATTAAACAGTGTATGGGAGACCCTAATGCAGATGCAGAGAATCCTGTTCTGAAAGAAGAACAAGATGCTCAAGTAATTCTCCATTGCTTAGTTATTTATGTTGCAGTATTGTGATCTTTGATCCTTTATGATCACTTAATTCTATAGGTGGGGAAAGGACCTAGGGGAGATGTTACCATATTGCCTACGATTGTTGTTAACAATCACCAATATCGAGGTTCGTGTTGATGATGCCTATGTTTCATATATATAATTTAGGATGTCTTCTTCATTTCTGATATGTTTTGCATACAGGAAAGCTGGCCAAAGTTGCTGTTATGAAGGCCATCTGTTCTGGTTTTGAGGAGACGACCGAGCCATCTATTTGTTTGAGCAGTGGTGAGTTTTTCTTGTTAGAGACCATCGAGCCGGAATTGATAGTGGCTGCTACTTCTGTTTCAGATGTGGAGACGAATGAATGCCTGGAGAACAATGGTGGTTGTTGGCAAGACAAAGCAGCCAATCTCACTGCCTGCAGGGTACGAATCAGAGAATTTCATGATAAGAGGTTCTCTACTTGCTTCTGACACTGTTAACCCTCTCAGGATACATTTCGTGGGAGAGTCTGCGAATGTCCCTTTGTCGATGGTGTGCGATTTAGCGGAGACGGTTACCGTCATTGCGAAGGTGATAACCGAGAATTTATCACTGACCGTCCCGATTGATTTTTTTATAATGTTTGCCTATGTTTGATGAGACAATACGACTTTCTTGCTTGACAAGGCATTTCTCACCTGTTTCTGTTTTTGCCAATCAGCTAGTGGCACGGGAAGGTGCAGAATCAATAACGGAGGTTGTTGGCATGAATCGCGAGGCGGACGGACTTACTCAGCTTGTTCGGTGAGTATCGACATTCCTAAGCTCTTCCCAGTTTTAACAAGTTTATGTACTAATCAAGGCTGTGAATAGGAGGATGGAAATGGAAAATGCGAGTGTCCTCCGGGGTTTAAAGGTGACGGTGTCAAAACCTGCGAAGGTGAGTCCTGAATGAATAAACATATGTTCCATGCCGTAATTAGGAACTCGAACTCGCTCAAGCTGAATTTATGTTCACAGAAGAACTTTGCGAGTTCGAGAACCTATATGTTATAATCTTAGGGTGAAGAAACTTGCATGAATTTCATGTAGATTCGTCCATCATGCAGACGTCGATGAATGCAAAGAGAAGAAATTGTGCCACTGCCCTGAATGTCGTTGCAAAAACACTTGGGGAACCTACGAGTGCACCTGCAGCGGAGATCGGTTGTATATCCGGGATAGGGACCGCGGTGCCTGCATAGGTGAGTTGTTGATCTAGGATTTGCTCCTGTTGTGTGTTTATATCAACTCCTTGAACTGTCTCAGGTAAGGCCGGTGCCGAAGTAAGAGCATCATGGGCTGCCATTTGGGTCATTGTAATCGGCTTGGCAATGTCCGGGGGCGGGGCTTATCTCCTATACAAATACAGATTAAGGGTAAGTTAGTGCTTTATCGGTTAGGCTTGGATTCCGGTACCCTGGAACCGAGGCATTTTGATCGGCATCCTCAACCGGATTCCCCCTTATGTCATGTGTTTTATTACTTTTGCAGTCGTACATGGATACGGAGATCCGGGCTATAATGGCACAATACATGCCTCTAGATGGTCAAGGTGAAGTTCCGAATCATGTGAGCGACCGAGCATGAAGACAGAAAGACAGAAACTCCACTGTTGTGATGTGGTTTCTTGTTCCACATTTATTCATTTGGATTTGAAGCATGCATATCATTGATATGTAAAATGGAACAATAAATGGCTATTTGTTCTTTATATAAACCTACGACTCGGAATCGAAATCAAAATATATGCAGATAAAATTCACATTTGATAAGATTTAAATCGGAATAAATCTCGAAGGAATTTACATATGATAAAACGACTTAATCAATTAGAGGGGTAAAGCCAGGGGCTGGCAGGGGCATTGGCTTCCTTGGTTGAGTGGTCTAATTACATTTTTAGTCCTCTGTGAATTATAAAAATTTGATGAATGATCTTTGCGGTAGTCATTATTGATTACAAATCAAGATTTTCAAGAAATAAATCCATTACAAAACGGAAACGACTTATTTCAATTTAGAGAAATTGCAGATAGCCTATATTTCGGACAGAGACGGTAACGGCCATGCCTTTCTATGATCTATTTGCCGTTCCGGCCTTGAGATCGAGTCCGATATCCATTCCGTTATATGCAATGGGCGCGTACATCCATAGATCATCGGAACTCAACAGCTGCGGGATTCCGGAATAAGGAAACAGAATTAGATTAGAAAGAAAATATCATAAGAAAAGGATCAATCAAAGCAATGCTCAGTTCGTTACCTTAATCTGCAGCTGCAAAAACTTTACATATTGGACTGCTTCTTCAAGCATTGTACTAAGATCAACCTTTGTTCCATTGGGGACAAGATTCTGTAAAATTCTCAGTCTTTCGTTGATTCTTTCCCTTCTTTTCTGCGAGATCGATAAGAACGGATCGGTTAATCAGTCGGTTTTCGATTTAATCTTCGGCAATGCTTGATTTAATGGTATATACTTACCCTTGCATAAAGGCTTTGAGGATCAGTGGCAGCTCCCCTGCCGGCTCTTGTTTTGCCATTCAAATTTAGTGCTGCATCTCCAGAGGCATTCGAATCATCCTCCGCGGAGCAACTGGCCCAGCTTTGCTCATTGAGACCGGCATTACCACTTTCTTCGTCAACGTTGGCGACCGAGATGTTCTTCTTCGACCTTGCATCTCTCCTGGTCTTTTGAACCTGCACCGGTAAACAAATTATGATAAACAAAATGCTGCATAAAAAACTGATACAGAAAGATGCATTTGTGTTTCCGCATCTCACATCTCCGGAACTCCTCGATCTTTTCTTCGAATTGTCCGATATGTTGTTGCTTTTCTTCTCGGTTACAATCGGTTCTGGTTTTGCCATCCCGAATCCCCATTTCGGCTCCGAAATCTTATCAAAATCAACATGTTCTTGCATGATTTTATCACGGTTCAAACAATCATCGGCTTCGACGAGAAACGAGCTCGTGTTCGTGCCATCTTCCATAGAAAAATCCATCGAAACCGGATGAGAATCACTCAGGTAAAAGCTCTCTTGGCTCGACGAAGACGAAAAAAGAACATTACTTCCAGGACTATAACTACTCATATCCGAAAAGCAGTAGGAAGCAGCAGCAGCAGCCATTGTCATATCCGTATGCTCATGATTTGCAGGCCAAAAAACCGATTGGATCTTCGATCCCCCATCGAGCAGATCATCACCAGATAGGGGACAGTTGCTAAGCAATTGAGACATGAAATCAGCTTCTTGATCAGTAGTGTACATCCCACCGAGACAACTCCAGTCTCCTTCTAAAATGGTCCCCGTTGAATCCATTTGAGAGAAAGGTTATCGAGTTATCGAGTTCCGGGTTTAGGGTTTTCCTCAGATTTCGCTCTGATCCTGGAAAAAGAAACAGGATGAACAGGCCTATATATACCCTCCAACAACTGTGAAGAATGTTCACCAGAAAGCATGGACTTCACTCTTGCAAATCTCTTTCATAATTACCAATTATTACAAAGCTCGTAATTAGGGGCCCCACAAAGAACAACTCGGATGAACCCTAAAATAATACAGAAATATTTAAGCTAACCTCCAAACGCCTGGATCCTTAGACCCTCTCTCTTAACTGAGTACCCATCAGGAGAATGATTGTGTACTTGGAACATGAACTAAGATTAGGTGGAAGAAAACAACAACCGGTCAGTTATAAAAGGTCGAATTATGTTTATAGTCCCTCTATTATACTCATATTTCAGTTCTTGTACTTGAAAAACAATTTGTGAGAAAAAATCATACCAACATTTTAACTAAAATAATTAACGGGATTTGAAATAATATTTGAAATAATATAAACAATTTATATTAATTATTAAAAAAGTCTTTAAAATATAATTCATGTATCATAAAATTAAAGAATTTGAATATTATTTAAATTAATTTATTCTTTTTTACATTTTAACCCTTTACAATATTTTTTTAACCACTTGATATATGATTTATTAGTCGACCCATTGGATTTTGTTACTGCATAGGTTCGTTAAGAGAGTGTCTCTTCTAATTCAAATTATTTCATTCATAATATCGTAATTCGAACTCTGTTATTTAATAAATCTAACATTTAATCCCGCTAAACCACATGGTAATTGGTCCATATATAGCAATTTTAACAACAATATTAAACACTCAAAATCAAAAACTTAAGCAAAAAAACATTTATACCGATCCAAACTAAGCACTTTTAACCGTATAATCAATGCTAAACTAACCCTAACTCATATCAAATCATCGTTCATGGACTAAACCCCATATGAAGTTCCAATTTTAAGAACAATAAAGGGACCAAAGCAGCAATTCGACCGATCTGAAATCAATGAACCAGGGAGAGATTTGGTGAAGATGGGGAAGGGAAAGAGAATCACACCTGGCAATGGACAGACGTGGGAGGGTCTTAACTTGAAAAATATCATAACATTTTCTTAAAACATAAAATAAACAAATATGTGTTCGATGAAGAAGAATGAAAGGGACGGACAGATCGTGGAGGTGAGTAAATTGGGAGCTGACATTCTCAGACCAGACATTGTATCTGATGTTGGGATACTTTGTCTCCATCAATGGCCTTTCAATCCTTTACAAGTGTCTTCTTCTTTCATACTCTTAAGAATCTCTAGCTTTGGTGTATGTATCTCAAGATCACGTACCAGAATATTTCTATGAACATGAATCTCATAATTGTTTTACGAGTTTTCTCATCTTGCATGGTGTAATATTACCATGAATTTCTCATTTTTTATCATAGAAATGGGGTTTATCAACATCGATTTAATTAACAGAAAATTTAATATCGTCTAAATAAGGTTTTAGGTTCGAATTTTATAAATGAAAATAAACCGTCTCTCAATATACGTTTGTTTTATTGTCATGAACTTATCATTTTTTTATCATAAGAATGGAGTTTATTGCTAATGTTAAATCAGAAAAATAAAGAGTTTAATATTTTTTTAGATGAGATTTTGAGTTTAAATATTACGTATAAGGAAATCTATGTTTGAAGGGCTTTATTTTATTTAAAAATTAAATCATTAATTATTTGTTCAGAAAAATCCAATTAAATGAATTATTTAATTATAGTAAGTGTATAGGGATTAGAGATTTACTTAATTACTTAGGGTGCGTTTAGTTCACATAATGTAAGATTACCAGTGAGAATAAAGGATTACCAAAGAATAAGATTACTGGGAATGTTGTACTTTGTGTTTGGTTGGTTTAGTAGGAATGTAAGATTACCGTGTTTGGTTAAAAGAATAAAAGATTATTGGAATGTATATTTTACTAAATTATCCTTATTATATATTTGTTTTTATAACAAGCTGAATTCTATTATAATATTACTATAATTAATTTATATAATTTATTAAAAAAATTTAAATTCATAAAATTTATATAATTTTTTACAAAATTGAAAAGATATATAGGTTTAATGAAAGGGTAAAAATTTTATTTTAACCCCTGGACTTTATATAAAATTATAATTATGGACTTTTTTTGTAAATCTAAAATAGTTTAAGGACAAATTTGTAATTTAACCTTAATACATTTTTTATTATTCAACGACAGAAGAATGATAATTTTGAAGAAAAAATTAAGGGCATTTTAGTCCAAAACGTCGGTAATACAACAACACCTAAGGGAATGCGATAATAACATTCTCAGTAATATACCACAAAAAATACACTGTTGGTAATAAAAGATTACCGGTCAACTAAACGAGGGAATGAAGATTCCATTCCCCTGGTAATATTGTATGCCGTGAACCAAACGTCCCCTTAAAAGTGTTTTAAAATAATTGATATCGATGAAAGAAGTAGGAAAAATCATCAACTTTCACTTTAATGCTTATACATGTTATTTAATTTTACGATGAATATAAAAATTTATTGAAAATAGCGGTTTCATAAAAATATTATTTATATCTCTTTACTTCTAGACCAAATAACAATTAAGATTTTACTTTTACCTATGTGCATTATGTATTTTTCATGATTTTTTAAAATAAAACTTTCAATAAATAATTTATCATTTATTTAAAATTATTTAAATTTTTGTAAACCAACATTCATCCTTATTTTAAAAACAAATCTAATCTAAAATAAATTTAATTTTAAAACAAAAATTCTATTTACCTACTAATAAATCCATCCATATATTCTTAAATCTATCTATCTATCTATCTATCTATCACTATATCACATCTATTATTTTTATAATATATTCATTATACCAAACAATAAAAAAGTCAAAATTCTACATGTGTGTTTTAGCTAATGCAATGACATAAATGCCCTTTATATAATACTTTTAAAAAATAATTTTAATGATTTGATATGATATAATAAAATTAAAATTAATATGCTTTGTTCACATACGGGAACATGTATATTATAATATTATAATCAGAGACGAATGTATGATTTTACGTTAAGAATGTGAATTTATGAAGTTATATTAAAAAATTAAAAGGTACGAAATTATAAAAAAATATAAAATTAAATCCCCAATTTAAAATACAAAAAACTTCTACATTCAATTCACACACCTAATATACTATTTTACACCAAACAATGAATAATATTTTAAATTGGCCTAAAGTCTTGTCATATTCGTACCTAAGATTCCGGCGGTTTTTCCTCTATTTTATTTTTTATTTAAAAGGGATTAAAAATAAAATAAAGGGTTTTCTCCTAATTAAATTGATGAATTATGGATTTAAAAATAATAATAATTCAATATTTTAAAGCTGAAAAGAATGCCGGCCATTGCACGATCTCTTCTGCAGGGTTGGATTGGAATAAATATGTGTAAAATTCATGAAACTTTTTTTTATAAAAAAATACAAAAAAGGAATAAAATCTCAACAAAATTCAAATTATTTTGGGAATTCATCAAATCTGATTTTGTTCTTCCCATCATAATAATTATTATCCCAATTTTGTTTTTTATAGTAAATTTCATTCCTACACTTTCAAAAAGTTAAAGAGGGTAACGTTCTACTTTAATTTATCATAATTCGGTCACCGTTCGATATGAAAATCGAAAATTGGTTAAGATGTTGGTAAATAGATTAACTTAAACCGATGATTCTTTTTTTATAGAATTTTTTCGGAGTCGGAATGTAATTTTATCATTGTATTGGCTTGTAATTTTATAATTTAATGACGATTAAGTCACATTTTATCATTTTAGGGGGGGGAGCAAATGTAGTTTCTCCATGTATTATTTTATAATTTTTAGAACGACTTATATGCAATTTCACCATTAAATTATCTCCTTAATCTTCTCAAGGCATAGGGATGAAATTCAAAATTTGACCATTTTTTCATTCCCCCCCCCCCCTTTGTTCATCGCCAGCTTGCGGGATCCATGCGAGCTGTTTTAAACTTTGGGTCTTAAACCTCTGTCCCCAAAGGATAATTAATTAATGATTTGCATAATTACATTAATATATATCAGTCTTATCTCATTAATCATCAGTTCTTAGTGTTAAAATAATAAATAAAATATTGATTACAGATGAACATAATAATGTTTTAGCCTAATCCCACATGTTGGGATATCTCCAGGTGGGTTCTTTATGGAATTTGTATGCTGATTAAAATATCATGATATGCTTTGTTGTTTAACAACGTGGCTTTTATTACAACAATTTCTCTTTTTTTTTCTAAATATATATTTAAAAAACAAATTCTATTTACTTGATTATTTTTATTCGGTTAAGATGAAATTTGACAAATGTCATGGTGGATATGATTTTGAAGAAAAAAGTAGTTTGATGACTAAAATAAAAATATAGGAATATGCGAGGACCAAATAGTTGGTTTACCCTTTTAAATTTTATTTATAAAAGGGTGAAATATTATTGAAAACTTGCACGAAATGTACTAATAATACTTATAATTTAGGAAAGCTTTGTTTTTTTTTTATAAAAAAAAGGACTAATTTCATAAATTCTTTTAAGGGAAACTAAATTTCGCTTTAATTAATAACCAACAAGTATTAATATTACTCTTATTTAATTAGCAGTTTATTATAATGCACTTTCCTCGCCCATGAATTAACTAATACAAATCACAGAAAGAATATTCTTTCCAAGAAAAAACTACCTATTTGGTACCCAATATCCTTATGTTTCTATTTTGGTCATCTATTTTTTTTTTCAAAATCGTACGTAACGTTATGTTTTGTTTCTATTTTGGTACCTTGTTGTCAGGTTTGATTGTCGACTTAACTGAAATAATGATATGACATGATATAATAATAGTTTTAGTCTCAAAACTTACATTTTCTATTAAATTGATCCTAGTTTATAATAATTTAATAAATCAATTAAAAGATGTCATTGGGTTACTGACAATGAAAGAGAAAAAAGATGTGGAAAATAATAATACCAATAATAAACGACGCATAAGTTTTATTGTTAAATTTTTAGCGGACGGTGATCAATATAAAAACGCAACGTTAAATACGATTTTAGAAATAAAAAAACACAATTGAACGATCAAAACAGAAATACGAGAACAGGCCAACGATCGGATATATAGTTTACCTTATTTTTAAATGTGTGTAACTATTCAATATTGGATTCATGCACACACATTAATTAAATTGTTTGTGCAAAACATGCTGAATTCTAAAAGGAAAATAAATATTGCAAATTCATTTATTGAATTATATATACAATTAAGAGATGTGAATTGATTTTAAGAGATGTTTAAAAAAAATTATAAAATAATTGATTAAATTTATCAAACTATTACAAAATGATCACTTGACATTATAATAAATGTAAAAAATTGACAAATTTGTTGATTATTTATAACAATTCAATAAATTAATTGATAATTTTATAATAAACTAATGGAATTTAATTTTAATAAATTTAATAAACATTTTGTAATTTTAAAAAATTCATTATTTCTATTCACAAAACAGTTAATATTTAATGATCTCTAGACTCTAGTGTACTTCACCCGACGATATATTAAAGACCGTAGAAAAAACTAATCCTTAAATCAAGCAAACACAAAGGATTAGTAATAAACTATGATTATCTAAATATAATAATAATAATAATAATAATAATAATAATAATAATAATAATAATAATAATAAGTGTAAACCAGGCGGTTTGCCGCGTAAAACTAGTGGAACACAAACAAGTCGGACTCCACATGTGGCTTTATTTGTGTCCATCTTATGACCTTTTCTTTTGCTGAGAAGAAAGGGGAATTTGGTTTAAGCAATTTATGAACTGAACCAAATACTAAGAAGGAAATCAACCCACTTTCAACAAAACATGTTTGTGCCTCTAAAATGTCATTCATTTCAACCACACAACAGGGGTGCAAATCGAAAAATAAAGTCGAAAGATGGCCGAGAAAAAACTAACATTTAGTTCTCACTGCATCTGGATTGATATTTAAGAAGAAAGATGTGGGGTGGATGATGATTGATGGGTAATGAGTTTCTTTGTAATATTACTTGTTTCTTCCGCCAGATAATGTGACCGAGGGGAGGACCGGAAGGGAGACGTTGAGCAGAGAAAACGGCGGTTGTAGCACTAACCAACAGGATTTGCACAAGCATGTGAATATAAGGTCTCACCAATTTCATCACAGTTTATCGATCGATTACTACTGCTGCTCATCATTGCCCACTTCGTCACCGAGAGCCCTTTGTGAAATTCTGTAGTAGAGAATACTCATGGTAGCCATGCAGGCCCTGCGCAACATAATTTATACGTGGTGTAAATAAAAAAAATCCTTCACGTGTTTGGTATTTTCGCATTTCATATCAGTTGCAGCACCCACAGGTCATTATCACAGATGCATACATAAATGCAAAGAAATATGCATGTTAAGAAGAAATGGGTAAATGCCTGCACAAGAGAGGAAGATGAATCCATGTGTGCACATGTAGCTTGGTCAGTTCTTGGTTGGTTAACATGGCCTTGGGTATTAAGGTTGTAGACTTACACGATTGCTATGACAAGAAGAATTTTTCTTGGATCCATCCGTGTTGATCTTTGGTGCTTCGAACGACCTTCTCTACCATCATCTACATTTGGTGAGTCTTTATGTAGAGGTGCAGTCACCGGGAGAGTTGGTAACGCACTTGACCAGAAGGGAATTAATGCTCTGAGAAACTTGAGATGAAGTGGTCCTACAACAAGAAATTATAAATGAAAAAAAAAGAACCATGGATATGAGATCACAGCGTGCAATGAATCATGATATATGCATACAAATATATATTTTCTCTAAGTTCAAGATTACAAGCATGCTTAGAGTGCACTTTGGATAGATGCATTAATAAACAGTCAGACCAAAAGTAGTAGGCCACGGCAAGAACGAATCGGAAAAGTTCTAATCAATCAGAGGGCAGAATGGCTTCATAAACCAAGGCTTTCTAACTCACCCCTACGAGAATACTTTTTACGGTTTCCATCTTCATCGTCTGTATAATATGAGATTTCAGAGTTTTGCCGATCAACATGAGATGTACTCTTCCGTGTTGTAGCCACAGGCTGGGTTACATCACAGCATAGAATAAAACACCCGATATAAGAAAGCAAAAAACTAACATACTGGAGTTGACACATACAAACAACCAAAACATAACATAAAATGATTTGCGAACTCAATTCAAATCCAATAATTAATAAAAAATGACATACAGCAACAGGACTCGGAGCTTTTATGTAAGTCCCAGCTGAATTAGGACTGTCTATCTCCATTATTTCTGTTACTGCAAGTTTCGAAGGTCCTGCATCAGCTGAGTATCCTTCATCTTTTGCAACAGATGGTGTTGAATTCCCATCATAATCTCTTCCTCCGGTTACATTTATCAATGGATCTGAAGCAAATGCAGGTGGGGGAACACGGGGTTCTGTTGTAGGCAAAGAAATGGGATGATTTCCAAACAAATTCTTCTCCATGCCAGTCTGTGTAATATCAAGTCAAGCCATTTAAATTTTTATTTATGCACATATGATAAGAAGTCAAGCTGCATTCATCCTAAAAAGGAGACTACAATATAAATCTACAATATATATGGCAAAACTACAATCAAACCAAATCATTTTTTCTTTCAGCAATACTTGCAGATGATCCACATATTCAGAGGCAAAAGATGATCTTCAGCAGTTTGAAACATCAGAAGATTGAGCATGCAACCCAAATACTGAGATCTACGACATTCTGGTGGCTAAAGTTGAGGTTTAGAAACTTGGAATAACTTAGGAAATGATATTTCAGTAACTTTATTGCAGTTCAATAATCCTAGTGAACAAGGAAAGAACAGGTTTGGCCATAGCAAACTTGCATGGCCTACATTTTACAATAACATGCATTGAAAGTAGTTGGTTCAGCTGAATGGTGATTAATGCATTTGACAGGTTAAACTTTCCTAGCAGAATAAATGTCATCCATTTCGGAAACCTCCACCAGGGAACAGTTAATCTCATAACTTTCATGTCAACCATCGAAAGGGGAATTCAAGCTTGAATAGCACATGCTGAAAAGGATAACAACTGAATTACAATTTACAACTGGGCAAGTGGCAAGAGTAGGACTTCCAAAACACCCAAGGGCAAATATTGTAAAGAAGCAAAGATGTACTTAAGGAAAAGTAGAAGAATAGTTTGATAAACAAAATATTGAAAGGGAAAAAAGATCAAAAGTTTTCTTTACATTTAGAATGAGCAGCCATTCTTTGTAACAACCCAAATCAAGCATGAACTCACCTGCATGATAGCCTCCTTCAGCTGTGAATGAAGACAAGATGCTGAATCTTTAACATTCTTGGGAGGCCATATCTGGGGGAAAAACCATTGTAAAATGAGACAAACCAAAGAACAAATAACCAAGACCATTTCACATAACTTATACAATACAAGAATAAAAGTAAATGACTGAGGAACACCAAAAGAAAATTATGCAGTCTTGACTCTTGAGTAACAAATCATAGAAATTCCTCCAACACATGAGAGAATGCTAATTACTGGAATATCAGAAACATGCCAATCAGCAGAGGAGTTTTCTACATTAACAACTTAAATGAGAGGCTGACACCCATTCAACTGTAAAGTTGTAATATCTAGCAAAATTTTGCTCTGTGGATGAAATAAAATTACTTATCTACTGAAAAGAAAAGAAAAAAACTTAAATGAGAGGCTCCAAAAGTCAGAGCAGCATGGTTATGGCAGTCGGTTATATTACTGTTAACCATCTCTATCTATCATTTGAAGCATGGACACATATAGCACCTACATGCTTCCAAGAACATTGTCACCATCAATTCTGGGAACATATATATATCACATGAAACAAGACAAATAGAACCATCTGGGCATGAAACAGTTGATTCATGCTGAAAAATAAACAGGTTTTTGAGAACTTACAGATGTTGAACATGAAGGACATGAATATCCAGCAGGTGCAGTGTGCGGAGGAAAACTTTTGATATGTGAAACCAAGCAATTTGTATGTATGACATCTAAAGTAGCAAATAAAAACTGTAAGATCATACAGCACAACTTCAACATACTGTTTTGCACCCAAAAAAGGGCAGTATCTAGTATCTACGTCAGCGTGAACACATACGTAAGCAACCCAATCGAGTGGTTACAGAGTCATCCCCCTCCTCAAGCACAGCTTGGCATTTGCAACATTTGGGAGGCCATTCATAGTCTCCATCTATTACCCACTCTGAGTAAGTACGTATCTAGTGCAAAGTGGCATAAAATCATCGTAAGCTCAAAACAGCATTGTATACAACACCTCCACTCACAGTTATTTTTTTACACTAAAATAAATACAGCATGCATAAATATGGAAGCCTTTTCAAGAAATTCAATATAATTTTAAAAAATGAACACAATGATGAATCATAAATAAGTACTTTTTTTTAATCCAACATATGAAAAAAGGAGTTGTACATCAATCAGAGCTCAATACATGATCCCCTCCCCCTTCTTTTTCATTTTAGTATGGATAAAATTATTACTGTTTTTTGCTCCTAGTCAATGCACTGTAACCGCACTTCATTCAAATCACATCAAAATGCTTGTGAGTAAAGTTCTGAGTCCAGTATAAGCAGAATTTATAAACTTACAACGCATATTTGGTGCTCGGGAAAGCAGATGCATTCCCCACATACAGGAACCTTGTGCACGAAACAATATAATTTTGTCGCCTGAAACACCAAGAGGAAAAAAATAGAGGCTTACACACAGAAACATTTGTGAATCTTGATCCCAGCCAACATCAGCTCTACAAATTATCTCATGTAATCATAATTAAATTCATAACATATCAAGCTATATTCCACTTGAACCTCCAAATATTAAGGTCAATGTCCTCCTCTCTTAGATTCATTTATTAATCAAATTCGCGTTCTTCTTTCAAATTAAAAACCCTTCAAATTAAGAGAGCAAAGATATGCAAAGTTGTATGCTCACGAGAAAGGAAACGATAGAGACCTAAAAGACTAAAACCCAGAGATGAATAACAAATTCCAATACAAATTTGTAATATGAAATGAATTTTAAAATACTCATATGAAGAATTGTAGCTCTGAGCAGTGAGTGACAGTAAACCTTATCAAGAGATCCAAAAACAGAGTCAGATTGATTTTTAAAGAAAAATGGTACCTTGCGGCATTTGCAGACCACCATTGCATAGAGCAGTAAGCAAGAAAGGTATCTCAATTACTTGGGGTTCGATCTCGTTTTGTACAGAGCTTCGGATTTTAGAAATTGATGAAGGCGAGCAAAAAACATGTAGTTGATGATTTGCAGATAAAGAAAACAGATTTACAAATAATAATAGTAATTCAAATATGAATAGTTGATGATTTTTTACAGATAAAAAAATTATAATTTTTGTACATATTCACATATTTAAATTGAGATTATTAAAAAAGACTCTAAATATCTAATTTATTATTATTACTATTTTATATTATATTTAAACTGATTTTAATTATTAAAATTATTATTTTTAAATTTTAAGACGTTTTAATGATTGATGTTGTTCTCATTTTTAAAACATGATATTTTTATATGTCTTATCACAAATTATTATTTTTTTAAAAATATATATTTAATAATTTTTAATTAATTTTTGGTGCACTTAACCCGTATTTGGAGGCAGATCGGGCCGTTGCATCTTGCAAGGTAGTTAAAGAACCCAAACTAACAAATAGGCTAAAAAACCAGAAATGGCATTAATGTAATTGTTCGGCTAGAGGACGAGCTTTTTCGGTAAAGTGAACTGCTAACTGATTTTGAATTCAAAAAAGTGTTTTTGCTTGTTTATTTATTCATGTTATCACCAAAATTTGAAACAAATCCGAATGACATTTCTAAAATTTCAAATCTCCTTCCCTCTCTTTGTATCGCCACCCGGTAAAGCATTCCATCGCTCTCTCAAAAACTGTAAGCTCTCTCTCCGTCAGTTCCCTAGTCTCTCTAACAACCAATCAAGCGATGACATCTGTCCATCCGCCGCCGGGACCGGGACGGGAGCTCTCTAATCCTCCGACGGATGGGATCTCGAACATTCGGTTCTCCAATCACAGTGATAACCTACTTGTCTCCTTATGGGATAAGGTGCTCTCTCAAACATCAATTGCCTTTTAAAATTTTAAGTTTCCTTTTGGTTTTTTCAGTGAACAGTGTTTTTTTCTTTCACTCTTTTTTTAATCGTAGTCTGTGAGATTGTATGATGCGAGCGCGAACATTTTGCGAGGAGAGTTCATGCACGGTGGACCGGTACTTGATTGCTGTTTCCACGATGATTCATCCGGGTTCAGTGCCAGTACTGATAATAAAAGTTAGGAGGTTAGTTAATTGAATCCTTTTTTGTAACAAATTTTCTGGTTGATTCTCGAGAAAGCTCAGGAGAATTTAATTTAGAACTAAACTTAATTTTGAGCTGTTAATTTTGTAGGATAATGTTCAGTCATGGAAAGGAGGATGTATTAGGTAGACATGATGCTCCTGTGCGTTGTATAGAGTATTCTTACGGAGCAGGTTGGTTAAAAATTGCAAATCATCTCCGTTGACTTAATTTTTGGGTTTTTTAAAGTTGAATTCAATATGATTTGTCTTTGATGTTGCTTTTCAAAGTGGAATTTCCTCTACCTGCTTGTAGGGTAGGACTCTGAGCTTCATTTTTTTTCGAACGGATAATTGGTTAATTTACCTTTGATTTAACTGAATAATAAAATAAATGAACTGATATGATGGAAAGAGTTTTCAGAAAAGATGATTGCTGATTCCATAGTCACAAGTTTCACTGAAACATGTCCTTTATGATTTAGATTTTGAAGATTAGACAAGACTATGTCTTCTAAGGAATCTACAACATACAGTGTTGAGCATGAGTTTTTTTTGTTTTATGTATGAAAATGTTTGAATCCTTAGTGTTTGATCTGTTGTTATAGGACAAGTGATCACAGGTTGGGACAAGACATTGAAATGCTGGGATCCAAGAGGTGCAAGTGGGCAGAGCGCACTCTTGTCGGCACATACCAACAACCTGAGCGTGTTTAGTCATTATCTCTAGTTGGAAATCGAGTAGTTGTGGCAACTGCTGGAAGACATGTAAATGTTTATGACTTACGAAAGATGTCTCAACCTGAACAGCAAAGGGAATCTTCATTGAAATATCAAACTAGATGTGTGAGATGCTATCCAAATGGAACAGGTAATGTTTTAAATGTCTAAAAGTTTCGTAAGCTTTTACAGGGAAAGGAAATACTCATTAAGAAACGGCTCACATCATACATGCATTTAAAGTAATATTACATGATTTTAGATCTCTGATCCATATCTTCATTAATCATTCTTTTGGATAAAAATGTTTCTCACTAAACAAATTTATACAGGATATGCTCTTAGTTCGGATGAAGGACGAGTTGCAATGGAGTTCTTTGATCTCTCAGAGACCAGTCAAGCCAAAAAGTACGTATCAATCTTTTCATTTTAGCACTATATTATGAGTTATATGCCAGCATGTGAATAGATCTAACCTGTGGGAACTGTTCTTGATCTGATCTAGTTTTTCATTTATCTGTTTGCTTGTATCAACTGATATTTTATAGGTATGCCTTCAAGTGCCATCGAAAATCTGAGGCTGGGCGGGACATTGTGTATCCAGTAAATGCCATTGCATTCCATCCAGTGTAAGTTTCAGGATAAGTCTTCAGCTGTTTATGATAAATTGAAGAGGCTGAAAACCTGAGTAGCATCTGTTCCGCTGGATAGTATTTTAAATTTTTAACTATATGATGCAGTACGTATGCGATTGATCACAACGTAGCATTGCCATTCAGAGCATTTTTCCTTTTGTGTACGAGTTTCAGGCATGGACAACTTTGATTAAACTATTACCGAGAAAATAAGTAATTTGCAAACTTTGAACTTCTTGTAAGACATTAGGTTGCAATTTGTTGGTCAAGATCTTGAACATACACAAAATTATTGCTAATATATGTCTTTCAATCCTGCAGATATGGTACATTTGCAACCGGAGGTTGTGATGGTTTCGTAAATGTGTGGGATGGAAACAATAAGAAGAGGCTGTATCAGGTAAAATGATTAGATTGAAATTCAATTTCATTTTACAGTCAAAAACCTGATAAGTTACTATCACTGTTATATGATCATTCGCAGTATTCAAAGTACCCAGCAAGCATTTCCGCTCTTTCATTCAGCAGAGACAGTCGACTTTTGGCTGTGGCCTCAAGTTACGCATTCGAAGAGGGAGATATGCCGTAAGATTCCTTCCAACTTCTCTTGTTCTGTCTTTCTCCGACTCAAAAAAATGTGTACAGTATCCATGGACATACTCGAGCTCCAACTTCGGATCCTTTCTTGATGCAGGCATGAACCGGATGCCATCTTTGTTCGCAGCGCAAATGAAATTGAAGTCAAGCCAAAACCAAAGGTATATCCCAACCCTCCTGCGTAGATGATTAAGGGTCTTTGTATCTTCTATGAGTCGAGATGTGTGAAAATGTTACACTTTGTGGTGGTTTAGTGAATGGTCTGAACTGTAAAACTAAACATATATATATATATATACAATCTTATTTTTAATGATAAGCTAGAATGTACTTTTTCACCTTGTGAATTTGTGGTGGTTTAGGATTGTTAGATGAGTAAAAATAGATGGTTGAGATTAATTTCTTAATTTTTTCCAATGAATATATTCTTATTTACTACTATCAATCTTAATTATTTATTTTCGCTTATCTAATATTTTAAATATATATAAATCCAAAAGAGATTTATATTATATAAATTGATTGTAACCTTAAATTTTACATAAAATGTCGATTTATATTTTAAAATAAATTCTTCTAAATTAAGGTCGAGTTGAATACTAGCGAATAACTTTAATTTTTCAATCAAATTCAAAATGGCCTAAAAAGCTCATATCACCTGTTGTCATCCCTTAGATACTCATTTGGTGGCGTTTGGTTGGATGAAATCTTTTGGAATTGATGGGATTTGGAATCTAATTCTACCACTTTCCCATGTTTGGTTTAAGTTTTTCAAGGGAATTGGAATCCTTGATAGAATTCAATTCTATCAAATGAGGGAAAGAGTCTAAAAATTGATGGAATTCAATTCTCTTGTTGGAAGGAATTGAAATTTGACTATACTATCATCATCAATCATTTGGTAATTTATTCATATATTGAATAAAAATATTTTTTTATTATTTCAGGTCGAGTTTCTAATTCAAATATTCGGGTCGGATCGGATGAAACATTATTTTGGTCGGATCGGGTCGGGTTTTTTAAGTGTGATGTTCGGGTTTAGGGTGAAAAAAACCGGATTGACCCGAAAATATATATAATTCATGTCGGGTCGGATTAAATCACAGTTTTTATTAAATAAAAATAGATTTTTATTATTTCGGGTCGGGTCGGGTCTGATTTCTAATTCATATATTCGGGTCGGGTCGGATAAAAATTTATTTTGTTCAGGTCGGGTTTTTTAAGTGTGATATGCGGGTCGGGTTTTTTAAGTGTGATATTCGAGTCGGATTGGATTCGGGTTTTTTTAAGTCATAATTTTTATTAAATAAAAATAATTTTTTATTATTTCGGGTTGGGTCGGATCGGATTTCTAGTTCATATATTCAGGTCGGTCAGATGAAACTTTATTTTGTTCGGGTCGGGTCGGATTTTTTTAAGTGTGATATTCGGGTTAGGTCGGGTTTTAGTTTAGGGTTGATGTTTTTATTGAATACCCCTTTATATATAATTTTTTCAATTAAGTCAATGTTTTTATTGAATAAAAATAATTTTTTTATTATTTTGAGTCGTGTCGGGTCGAGTTTCTAATTCATATATTAAATAAAATATTTTTGGTATATTTTTTGGTAACTAATTAACATATTCCGATTGGAATGTATCGAAATATTACTCTATCTTTTGGTAACTTATTAACATATTTTGATTGCGATTATTTTAACATATAATATTTATTAGCATGATTTTTATAATTTATTAAAATAAATAATAAATCAATAAAATAAAATTTTAATATTTTTTAATTTGTTATAATATATTACTACATATAAGTTGTAAAATAAACTAAAATAAAGTAAAAAAATAAAAAGGGTAATTCTATTATTTTACATTATTAAAATCAAATTCATCTGAAATGTCTAAAAACAAAACAGAATATAGAATTGGATTTTAATTTTTATAAATTCTAATTCATTCACAATTCTAATTTCTTATAAACATTTCAACAAACAAACTACCTATATATATATATATATAGATTACCGTACCGAGTACAAAGCCTAACTAATTTATAGGCCAGTGATGAGATCGTTCTACCAGCACGTTTCTAATAATCAGAGCGAAACACTCACACGTTAACCTTGACATATAGTCTAGATTAACACATTTACAGCCACTAGAATTCTTGAACGTGTCGGACTTATAATGCGACACGATTTGTGATAAGAATGTGAGATCCACGCGGCGTGCTGGTGGAGACTCCCAACATATAGACTGCTTTTGATGTGGATAACATCGAAGCTTACTTGTCGCTTATGTCAGTACTGAGTACCTGTGAAAGTTGTTCAAAAGGGAACCGAAAAGTGCCACGTGTAATGCTGAGCGAATCGCGCGTTACGTGCCGTATGACTTGACGATTTCGCTTTCGCCAAGCCACGATTTCTACGCACTCCTGTACACTTCTATTACTTCACTCTACTTAGCTCCACACCGTACGGGTTTTACAGAAATACCCTCTATGCTTTTTTAAATGCAAAATCTATCTCCTCTTAATACACAATATGGATGATAATAGGTTAAATGTATAGGATGTCCCTATTTTATGCATTTTTTTCGATTTTTATATATTTTATGTATAATTTATATTTAAAATGTATGGTTATGTTTTAATAATATTAATATTTGAAATTCAAAAATAAATATGTCTTAAATATATATATATATATCACAACTACATTCAACACACATTAATTATGTTTTTGATAAATTTATTATTACTATAATTTAATTATTTATGATCCTTAATTTCTTAAAAATTAGTTTTTTATCTTGAAATAAAACTATTTTTTATTAGTATTGTCTAACTCCACCTTATATAAATATATAGATATAATTCTTATTTTTCTTTGATAAAATAGATATCTAATTGAAAAAAATATAGAAAATAGTATTATTATAACTATATCTAAATTATACAAGGGACTAAGGATTAACTGCATTATTACCTTAGGTTGTGTTGAAAATTTTTATCTTAAACTTAAACTCAATTTGATCCTATTCTCCAACAAAAAAAACTAATTTTAACTTGAATTTAATTTTTTTTTTCGAAAAAGGAATATTGATCTTATAAAATAAGATATAGTAAGAATGAGTCGAATTCTAATCTAATATTCATAATTAATAGGGAAAACTATCCACGACAATTCAATTTCATTTGCAAGAAAAACTTTTGATTTATATAAAAAAGTTAAATTAAAATTAAGATCAAGTTATTGAAGATTTTGAAAGGGGCAATAGTGGTAAAGCGAAGAGGAGAAGGAAATTTGTTAATTGTAGAAACTAGAACACAAGCAAACCAACCGAACTCACACCGAATGCCAAAACGACAAAGCAAGAAAATCCGGAATATTACAGGATGCCAAGCTGCTATCTCTCAACCAGTTAACTTTTGCCACGTCAGGGCAACTCAAATTATTTTTATATTTGTTTGTTTGGCCTGTAAGCCTTCAACGTGGAGCAAATAGATAATGAGTTATCTAGGCCGATTCTCTTTAATAGTCATAAAAGTTTACTTTAGGTTAAATCATGGTTTTGGTCCCTCTTCTATGTTCAAAGTTGAAATTTTAGCCATATAATTTTTTAATCCAAATTAACACCATTAACTAGTCTTGTAAAATCGTTGACGTTAATTTTGTGAATTAACTAATGGCATTATAAAAGTAAATGGATTATTCTCGCATAATATTAACGTGTGTCATTAGATCCTGAAATAATTTTATAGGTTGGATTATTCTCGCATAATATTAACGTGTATCATTAGATCCTGAAATAATATTTCTATATTTTGTTGAAATAAATTTTGATAATTACAAATTTATAATAAAAAATTGGATAAAATAACAACAGGCGTAGCGTTGACTTGATTCGGAACCAGTGATATATAATCTGACAAAAGGAGCTGAGTTCATGCCTTATTTTGAGTCGACTGACTCACTTCAAATTCCTATATAAACCCCTTTCGCTACCACAATTTATCACATCCTTTGTTACTATGGCTCTTGAAGCTCTGAATTCTCCTCCCATGGCGGCTACTCCTTTCGCCACCAATAAATACGATATTATCGACGACGACAACTACAACCACGTCGAGTCATGGAAGAAAGGCAAGCGTTCGAAGCGGCAGCGCGATAACGAGTCTTCTCCACCGCTGACGACTGAAGAAGAGTACCTCGCTCTCTGCCTCATAATGCTAGCTCGTGGAAACGCTGCATCTGACGGTGGAGGAGGGGACGCTGATCGTCTTCGGTTGTCTATGTCGTCGTCGGAAGCGGGAGCTGCTCCGCCGGGTTTGAAGTCGTCTTACAAGTGCAGTGTTTGCGACAAGGCTTTCCCTTCTTACCAGGCTCTGGATGGTCACAAAGCCAGCCATCGCAAACCCTCCACCGACGGAGCTACTGCTAATAATCAATCTATCACCACCACCACCAGCAGCGGGGGCGACGGTAGAGCACATAAGTGTTCCATCTGCTACAAGAATTTCCCCACAGGCCAAGCCTTGGGAGGCCACAAACGCTGCCACTACGAAGGGGGCCACAACAACAACAGTAACAAGAGTGGTAGCGTCAGTCTCAGCGGAGTGACGGTGTCGGAAGGCGGCGCGTTGAGCCAAACCCATCGTGTCAAATTTGGCTTTGACCTGAACTTGCCGGCTTCACCGGAGTTCTGCGTGGAAAATGGAGATGAAAGATTCACAGAGCAAGAGGTTGAAAGTCCATTGCCGACAAAGAAACCACGTTTCATGATTGATTCTTCGGCATTATAGAATCAAAACAAGTGATGATTTTTATCTACGATTTCTTCTTCTTCTTCTTCTTCCATTGATTATGGCATCTCTATGCCATGTTCTTTAGAGTGTATTCAACTATTCATTCTGTTTGTATATATTCAGCTGTTGGACCGGTAATTCATCGATTCATTTATTTTGAAGATTCGTTTTTTCACTTTGATAATCTTCTATTATTTTGATACAAAAGTTATGCCGCGTGAACGGAGAAGAGACAGCAGGCGGCGGACAAGTAGAGGCAGTCACGGCGGTGCTAACAACTATGTTCTGTCGATGGTATCAATGATTCTTTAAAGATTTAAAGAATATAGGGATTGGCGGCATGATCAATAAATCTTCTTCAACACTTTACGCTTGGCTTGGGAGACATATACCTAATTAATTAATTGATTAGAGACCACTATTAAATTAATGAATTAACTGAATTTATGAAGAGATTTTAAATATAAAAATGAGTATTATTTTTTTTTAGAAATTGAATTTGAGTAATTACATAGTAGATTTATCAATTGACTGGTTAAGCATTAAGAAAATTATATATATATATATATATATTACCTTGTAACTACTCTAGATTAATGAAATATTAATAATGTTTTTAGGCTTAAGCCTATTAACATTAACAATGATTTTGAAAATTAAATATTTACAAATTTGATTTTTTTAAAATAATTTTTACATTAGACTTATTAATTGATTAATTTAGATTGGATATCGGATACCGATAAATATGAGGACACATATTAATCAATTAATTCAGATTGAATATTGGTCATTATGAAGACGATCTTTCCAATCAAAACATACATGAACATAAACATGATTAATCAAAGCAGCACCAGAAATACAATGATAATTTGGTTATCAGATGAACTTACACTTGCATATACATATAAAAAATGCTTTCTTTATCTTCAGATATAAAGAATTACATGTGTGATCATAGATGACAATAACTGGATGCAAAAGGCTTGCTAAAACGAGAAGCCGAATACGTTCGATCTCATTGTAATTTGTTCAGCACCGCCTCCACCCATTGGGAAAACATGAACATGGGTGGTAATGTTTGTTAGCATTAAGGGTGAGTAGTCGAATAAAGATCAGTTCTAGATGCGTATTGTCCGGCAGCCGGTGGTGGGTAAACGGCTTAGTTGTAGTATATGCGACCTCACCCTACATTCGTTAACCTAATCGAAAATAACAGTCAACGAATAAGCAACATAAGTAGATGAATCGGAGAATAGCCCGAAACATAAAAGCGGTGTTTTACCTGAATGGCAGTTAACAGGGATAGACGATCATTACATTCTTCGAGCAGAACCCTTTCGTTTCCGGCTACACTCGCAAGCTCGGTAACCAAAGAATTCATCTCCTTCACCTGCAAAGGACAAATGGTACTATTAACTCGGCGTTTCCTTTTTCCGGTATCGGTTTTCCACAAGATTTTATTCATGGATTTTACCTTTGATGATAGTGAGCATATTGAGGATGCCATTGCGTGCATCACATCCACTGCTGAGCTGACAGCATCCTTCAGGTTCTGGATATCTACCTATTTAGAGAGAAAACGGATACTCGCGAGCTAAATCATTAATAGATTGTTTGTTGAAGAGCAGGGAAAACGAGAAAAACAGAAGAAACTCACTACTGCTTTTCCAACAATCGGAAGACGAAGAGTACTGGCCCTTAAAGCTTCAGTTGCTCCTAGCAAAGAACTGGTGTGGTCTCCGTCGAGGAGGTCCCATGCTTCTAAACGAGATATCTGCACTCATCAATCATAACAAGTTATAGTCATGAATAACAGGAAATTCATGCTTAAGCAGTGTGAATGAAATCAACCGATATTCAGTAACTACCACTAAGGTAAAAATATGAACACGTTCGATTAAATACTTTGCGAAAATAAAGATTCGAGTATTACTTGTCCCTTCAGGATGGAAGTCAATTTCAATTTTTGCCTCAGTAATAGCAACTTAATTCTCTTGAGAGTGACGGAATACTGCAATTCTGATGTCCTTACCCATGCATTCCACAGATCTTTCTGCTACAACAAAAAGGAACATTCGCCATGACAATGCCGGACTTATCAGAGAGCATCATGTTAAGCCTAAACTCGCAAACCTTTTTTTTTTCCGACTAGGTCCCTTTTTTATGCCAAGTTGACTATTGCATCAACCTCTTGATAACCGAAAACCTAGGCATTCATGTTCATTACATATAGCAAAACCCTGCCGCTCAACTTTTCCATCCGTGATTCTCATTACTGTATTAGTACTTATACGACGTGATAGCACATGAACTTAGCAATATTTATATGATGTCATATTGGACAATATTGCATGATGCTCTCTAAAAAGATACTGTTATGCGAGAATTACCCTGTCGCTTGCTTTACAAGTAAGCTTTATCGTAAACTAGTTGGGTTCAAGCTTGTTTGACAAACTATTACAGTGAAGTAAATTAAAACATGCACCAAATATCTTAGATCAAGACTATTGAACATCTAGGGAACACAACAAGATGGACGAGGAGGATAACCATACCTCGGCATGGAGTTCCTGCACCATGAAAACCGCCTCAGCCCTTGCATTTGCAAATCTCCATTGCAAGTAATGGTTATAAAGAAGCCTCAACGTGTGTGCGTCAACGATTCGATCCTCCCCCACTTTTCCTCTACGAATATCAACAGAAAAGCTAAGAATCGAAGGGTTATTAACAGAACTACCAATCATCTGACCCCCAACCGCGCTTCTCACCCGAGCTGGACTTAGCCCCCTCAAAGGAGAGGAAGCCGAAGATGTCCAAAGCTTACTAGGAGAAGCAGGCCTTGTACCTCTCCTAATAGGAGAAGTCATTGTCCTCGGAGAGGACATTGCAGCAACTCTAGGCCCGGGGTTCATTGACAAAGGTGAACCTGGATCCTGCAGCCGTCTTAATCGGCTATTAGTTTCCTGCCAAAACCTCGCCGACGAAAGAACACTACGGGAACCACTCCTCCCTTCAGGAATCCCATTTCCTCCACATTCCTGCATTCCGGAATTCGTGCTCCCGGACGACACGCTCTCTGTATCGGATGCAAATAGATCACAAGAGGCACAAGAAGTCTCATTTACACAATTTGCATCAAAAGATATCCTCCTACTACTCTCATCAAGCATCAATGACTTAACCAGCATTGCACCAGATCCACCAAGCAAGTTCCTTTCACCAAAATAATCCAAACTCCTAGACATCGGATTCGAACCCGAATTCGACTGCCGGGTTCTCGCAGGCCAGCGGTGCTGATCCGCGGGTTTCGAGCTCACCCCATGATCTCTATCTCTTCCGGGAGTAGCTCTATGCCTCTCGGGAGTTGCTTTCCTAGTCAAAGTAGAACCCACTTGGGACTTCGTCTTACTAACCGGAAGCGAAAAGGCCTCACCTTGAAACGAAACGGATAAGCTCCTCGTTGAAGTGATTAACATCTTGGTGGCAGCTGACAATTCCGTGGAATCAACATTGTTTCCTTGCGACACTTGACAGCCGGGCCGCCTCCGGTCAACGGATTGAGACCGTTTAGGAAGTGGAGAAGGAAATATCGTCGTCGTTTTGTTCGTCGCCGTCGTATTAGAGGAACGAGAAATAAGAGGTGAAGGGAACCTCGCCGTCATCTTGGCTGCAGTTGTTGTTTCCGCTGCTGAAGAATGCGATGGAGATGGCGACAAATACCGCGAAGGAACCTGTCTACCTCTGGGTTTCTTTTTAACAATGGAACCATTGTCTTTAAGAGCAGACCCTTTAATTGTAGTCGAATTCGGGTTTTCTTCATGATCAGTATTTGATTCTATGAGCTTTGAAGGAGTTTGAGGACGAGAAAATGCAGCCGCCACCATCATCTGAGACTGCAAAAGGATTCAACTTTCTCTTCTACATTTCCTAGAAAGAAATTTTCAGTAAATTACCAACCATGGGTTTTCGTTTTCATAGCTGATAACATGAAAACAAACAAGATTTTAGGTAATTTATGCATTTAACTTCAACAGCAGCCAAAAAAAACAGAGATTTTCTGGGTTTTCAGAGCCACTGAAGAAAACAGTAGGTAAGGTGAGAGATGTCGGCAAAGAGAAGAGATTCAGCTGGGATTTTTCGGGTTCGAGCTCTTATGAATCTTTGGAAAGACGTTATGTTAATTAATTATTCATATCTTTTTTTAGTTTTAATGAATTAAAAGCCTTATGATGAACACTTTGAACCCAAAAAAAAGTGTTATAATGAACACATTTATGGTATTAATGATAGAGAAATACATTGAGGAAATGATATTAATTACATAAACTTGTGTTTTATTCCTTAATTAACTATTAAGTATTATAATTATGAATTTTAATGTTATATTCAGATTTATGATATAATTAAACTAGTAGTCAAAATATATTTAGATCTATATAGAAATTAAATCAAAATAAAAGTTAAATTTTACATTATAATAAGGTTTGAATTTATATAGAAATTATAAGAAGATTTATGACATCAGATTCTGAAAATATAGAATTTATATTAAATATAATTAATGGAAATTTAAATTTATTTTTGAAGTTTTCAAATATCAAATTCAAACTATTTCAGGTTAACTGTCTTCTGAAAACTTGAAAGCTACCTTTCCTTGATGTGACATTAATTTATATTAGGTATGGTGAGTATATCAGAGAAGACTTATTGATTTATAAGTATAAAAAATATTTTTTCCTTTACTTTTTTTTTATCTTAGGTAAATGTTACAAACCAATTCATATTTTTATTTATTTATAATTATGGTGTTTCATAAAAAATATTTGTAATATTTAATTAATAAATTAAATATGTATAATTATATTAAAATTTCATATAATTATCAAACTTAAAGATGAACATCTTATAAAACTACCAAAAATATTGAAGACAAATTATTTAACAAAACAATATGTAAATATATAATATATTATTGTTTGAACTATAAATATAGTGAAATCTTTTAAAGAAATTTAAAATGATAGAGATCTAAAATGATTATTTTCATAAAATTTAAAGTAAAATTATGTGTTTAATTTAATTTTAAAAAATAAGGGTAAGGTATATAAATAGTCCCCAAACTTTTAAGACGCTTACATTTTGGTCACTCAACTTTTGAAACTTGTAGTACAATCATCAAACTTTTAGTTCGTTTTTAGTAAGGTCCCTACCGTTAGCTCCCGTTAGTTTTAGCTGATGTGGCACTTAACTCTCGTTAACCCCCGGTTAACTTCTTCTTCTTCTTCTCTTTCTTCTTAACAAACGACGAACAGAGGAAGACCTGTGGAAAGAAGGCACAACCTACTAGATTTTAGTCAAAACGGTGTAAGGACTACAACAATGGTGGCGGTGTTGCAAACAGACAACCCAATTGGCCAAAAATCGATGAAAACGAAAAAGGGACATTTGAGTTTTTTGATGAGATTTGGGGTCCTCTCCATGACTAACGGAGGTGAGTCTTGACGAGTGGTTAAGTGGGCTTTGGTCAGAATGGGGCGACGCTCTTACTGGTACCGACAGTGATGATCACCTACAACAGAGATCGGGGATGAGTGTTTGAACAGTCTTCTTGCGGTTTGGGACGAATGGTGAACAGTGAGTATGAATTAAGGGTCGAGGTGTGGTCAGGAGGCGACACCGGTGACGAAGGTGATGGCGATGTGAGCCACCGCTGATCAAATATGGGGTGAACGTGAGTTATTTTTACGTGTGAGAGAAAAAAAGAAAGAATAAGAAGAAGTGGGGTTAACCGGGGGTTAACATGAGTTAAGTGCCACGTCAACTAAAACTAAAGGGAAGTAACGACAGAGACCGTACTGAAAACAGACTAAAAATTCAATAATTGTATTGTAAGTTTTAAAGGTTGAGTGATCAAAATACAAGAGCCTTAAAAGTTCGGAGACTATTTATATAATTTACCTAATAAATAATGGCGGCTGTTGTAGAAGAGAAGGTGAAAACTTACTGAGCGGCTGCCGTTATTCCCCCAAAGCGCAAGAGCCAAGGCCGAGAAGAAAGAGAGAGAGAGCCAAGGAAAAGGGCTATAATTAACAAACTGTAAACTATCTCAAGTGAATTACTGATTTGTTCTATAAAGTTTGTATGAATTAACATAAGAAAGAGAGATCAAAGGGGAGGGACATGAAGAAGCTAACCTCCATGAAAAGAGCTTACAGGCAGCTAAAAGGTTGACCATGTCAAATGGGAAATATGCAATGAATTTAATATATATATATATATATATAGAAAATACAAGACAGGAAGTGATTATTGCAAGCAAAGTTAAAATCCGTTTGTTAATTATTAGTTTACTATAAGATGCAATGTCTCTTTTCATGTATCTTACCCCCCGACTTTCTCTTTGTATCTTTATCAAGTAGTTTGAGAATAAACGAAGAAAGAAGAGAGTAATTAATACAACCATCAAAATTGTAGTTCATTCCGTCATTCAAATTATATTGGAACATTATACAACTTTGAAATCCAAGAAAGTGAAAAATATAACTTATAATATTAAGGCTATTATATTGGAAAGGTGGTGGGTCGCATAATTGATCACTTATAATCATTCCAATCCAAAGAATGCTTAATCCATATGGAAAGTCTTTTTTTATTAATATTATGATCCGTGCGACTAAAAACAGATACAATCCTCTCCTTTGATTCTCTCTCTATTTGGTTGCTAGGCTAACATCAATACCCTTTTTATATGACTTGAAAAATATAAATAGTTAAGAGTAAAACATTAGTTAGTAGTTCAAAGAAGAAACGTCAAATCTGAAATGGGTTTGGGATTAGACGCATGATTAAACTAACTAACAGACGATTAGACTTAAGAACCCCACCTATCAGATGACTTCACCCTGCAATTTCCATAAGCAAATTGTTGTTGTCGGTGTAGTTGTTAGGAAAGGGAAAGGCACTCAAGTGTTTACATCTCATCTTCTTCTTCTTTTTCTACCTTTCCAGCAAGATCCATCACTATTCTAATGCCGGATTCGCATTCGCTAAAGCATGTTTTTTTAACAAAACATATTTTGATTGCCACCTTTCTTGGGATCTAAGATTCAAAAGGAATTAAGAAAAAAAATAGAATTGTGGTTGGTGATTCTTTAACCTTCAGAATGGACCACATTTAAAGGAAGACAACACATAAACAAAGTACATAAGTTGGCAAACAAGTGCTTTACAGTAGAATCTTTTTTCACTAACAATAACATTAAAGACAAAGCTTTGGTCTGAATCATGCTGGCAAGTTGATGAACAACCAGCGGCAGACATTTTTTTAGCAGAATGGCTCAAACATTTGAGTAATTTCATGTAAGATGGGAACTTGAGAACGCTTCCAGGATTCTAAAAACTACATAGACAGATGTAAATACATAAAACGATATATTTCATATTATTTGAAATGGTTAAATTTTCAAAACAATAATCTTCAAAGGTAAAATTATCCAAACTGCAATGTCGTAGAAATGATGGTAGATAACACATTCTTAAATAGTGCTTATTATTAGTAATCTTACTTGAGTCATTGACATTATCAGAAAATATTAAAAAACCAAATGAGACAATCTCATTCCAAATCTTATATAAACTAACTTAAAATCACCTAAACCAAATAAAGTTGGTGAAATAGACCGATAATATATTAAATGACCAAATATGAAAATGACTCCATATACAATCGCAAGTACTTTGGGCTGGTGAACTCAAATCAAACTAAGAAAACTTAACCTCAACTCTAATTGCATATCATAAAGAAAGCTTTGTCAAGCAGCATCTTACCGGATGAAGTCGATAGCTCAGATCTCGCAAGAATAATCCCATGTTTAAGACATGGAATTATAGTTCATACTCCATGGCTCATATAGCCGAAAAGCTAAACTGTACACCAAGGGCAAAAAACTGAAAACCCTAGTGAACTTGCTTTTTCCAGCAAGAGAAATAATCAAAACATCAATGATTCAAAACTCAAATCGAATAACCCAAAGCATCAGCATCTTACATAAGAGTCTACAGTTTCAACAGTAACTAATCTCTTGTAATAGTTATTCCAGACTTCAGAATCAAGGTAGAAGAATATGACGCAATGCCAATAAGTGGCCTCTCTGTGGACCATACTAATCAAAGAGCTAACATTATAAACGTGTTATGGCAATACTCTTTCCCAATATAAAAATTGAAGATGATTCTGATGCAGTGCATAAAAAATGCAACTCCACCATGGACCATGCTAATCTAGACCTAACATATAAACCATGATCAAATGTGATATAAGGCTTCAAACTATATACTTTCTATGATTTTAAATGAATATACATAAATCAACACCGAATTCCATTTAAAGAACACATAAAGAACTAATAATCATCAGAGTGTTCACGCGAAATAATAATTATCAACAGGATCATCGCATGACAAACACAAAAAACATGCAAACTTAACAATAAGTAAATTACTGAATTAAAACATTATGATTACTTCATTGAGAAACAACAAAGTACTCTTAGTTCAACAATTACTTTAAGGTTCATACTAAATTAGCCCCGTCCCCAAAGAAGAAGAAAACATATATTGAAGGTAGATAGTTGGACAAAGTCCTTGCTTTAAACCAGATAAAATTCAACGGTACTGCAAAGAAGACGTGAAACAACGAGAGGTTAAGAAACCGTTTGCAGGAACAGTTATGAAGAATAAGAGAACATTAAACATCAGACGAGTACCTTGATGAATCCAATTTCCTTGGCATTGCTACGAAAGCACTGCCTGCAACACATGAGACCATATTTCCTGATGATGGCATGGGGGTTTCCACAAACACGGCTATCAAAACAAAACAAAACAATCCTAAGTCATAGCAATTAGCAACAGCAAAACACAACAAATCATCAAAACAAAACAACAGCAATTGCTTGTCCACAGGAGAAGTGACAAAGGACTTATTCAAGGCTTCAATTGATACCAGTCACATGTTCAAATGGGCAACCCCTACCTCTCAATCTCTTACTAAAATAACAAAAGACAACAACAAATTTGACAGAAACCCAGGATGCTACCGACAAATAATTCATAAAAACATCAACTAAGCGAATCCTTTTTCAATAATAGGGTATATCGATGGATTAGACACGGAAAAATCAATAACCTAAAACTTTATCCATTCCGTTAAGTTATTATATGCTAAAAGTAAAACATCCTGCCGAAGACTAACTAGTCTCTAAAAGATCTAAACCAAAATGGCGTTCTCATTGGGCTTTCAAAGCAAGCAAAAAAAGGAAAGACTTAAGAATAAGAGAAGAAGACGGTACCAAGCGCGAGAGCCAGGGCCGTAGGTTTTGGGGTGAGAGTTCCAGACGTTAGAGTGGCCCATCACTGACCGACTGTTTATTCCACCAAAGCTTGAAAAATGCCAAACGGGAATGAATAGAAAACCTAGATTTCACGGAGGTGCTTGGATCTGTAAGAAACGCGGGGTATATATATCTGAGGAGCATAAACCCTAATATGCCATTTTAGCGGGTAAAAGCTTGTTTAAGCCCAATTAACATGACTCGGATATATATGCGGAGCATAAACCCTAATTTACGATTTTAGCGGGTAAAACCCTCTTTAAGCCCATTAATATGACTCGTAGCCCAACTGGTTTTTTTGGTGGGGTTGTGTAGTCAATATTTTATCTAGGGATGGGTGTGGGACGGGACGGGGTGGTTTTTTGGCCGTCTCGATCTAGATCCGAAAATATATACCTTGTACCTGACCCCATCTCACCCCAATAAATTTTAATTTTCTCCTGTACCGACTCATCTCGATTTTTAGGTTAAAACCTAAATCCTACCCTATCTACTATAATATTTAAAATAATTAAAATAATATATTTTTTAACAATATATTTATAATTATTTATTATATTATAAATAGTTATAATAATATATTTTACTATAACTTTTATATTTTTAATAATTAAAGAATATTTTTAAAATATAAATATAAAATTTCGTAAGATATTAAATATATATATATAAGGTTAAATTATTTGGTTGGGTCGGGTTTTTTCACCTTAAACCCGATCTCTTCCAGCCCCGAAATTATATACCATATAATTCGCCCTACTTCGAATCTCGAAATTTCAAAAAAAAAACATCCCATAAGATCAGGTCGGATCAAAACTCGTCAGATATATGTATTTTGACTATCCCTAATTTTATCCGATTTATTTACATAAAGTCTTTGAGTTAATCAAACATCGATTTAAATACTTTTAAAAAATGCCAATAAATTTTATTATAAATTTATTTATATTATTTAATAATTTATGTGGTTTTAAAAAATAAATAAATAATTAAATAGAGAGATTTAAGATTATTTAAGTATGAATTTTATCAAGTTTTCACGATAATACTCTCAAGTTTCAATTGGATGAAATATGATTTTTCTCAAAATTTTAACTATAATTTAAAAAAATATATATTCATTAACCGAATGAATATGAGGTTTATATACACGTGTTGTCATAATCGTTCGACCGATTCGTACAAATATGTATTATAAATATTTACTGTGTACGTTAATCCTTTCTGGATAATTTCTTTTATTATTTAATTTTTTATTCTCATTTATTTCATCTTTGATGATATGAACATTGAAAGTATGGTCTAAATCTTTATTACGTCCGGGGATGGACATGAGTCGGATTTGGATCAATCCGATTCAACTCAAAAATTTTACATCATTCACTTGATTTAATTCTATCCGAAAATATACCTCCACACGACCTGATTTTTTGAGATAAAATTCTAACTCAATTAAATCACACTCGAAATAATAATAAAATATTATTTTTATTGAATAAAAACAATGATTTATTTAAAATTTAATATATAGAAGTGTATTATTGTAATTATTCATAAATATATAAGGTAAAATTATATATATATTTTTTGTCGGGTCAGGTCGGGCATTTTCATCATAAACCTGAATCTAACCCGAACTCAATTTTTTTTAAAAAAATCTGATTTAATTGAATTGAATCAGATCGAAACCCTTCAAATCCGAGTCTCATATCCATCGCTCATTACGTCAATCAAAATACGTCTTATAAATCACACCTCATAAAAGTTGATCTACATCATGCATCTTTTAAAAATATTTTTTTTTTTTAAAAAATATGATTTATGTAAATAAATATTATTCACATAAATTAACAGACGAAAAACTATTTAGACTTGGCTACCAAATGAAAAACTGATATAATTTGGGTTTAATTGTGAGTTCTGTTTTAAACTACAATATTTAAGGATACATAATAGCGTTGTTCACAGAAAGACTCGTCTCTTTCAAGGGAAAAAAAAAAACTCCTCTTTTGTTGCCAGTCTCCATGACGGACCAAGCGGGCTCATCTTCTCAGCTGGCAATCACTGGCTTTCTCACTAACTAATCTCTAGATATACAGATTCAGTTGGAAATATCTATCCACCCATTTGTTTCTTTCAAGACTTACAATCTATTCTACTATCGGAAGATCTTGAGAATTCATTTTCCCACTAGTTTCTTCCAATTTCAAAGCCTTCTTCATTCATCTGCCATTTTCAGGAAATCCATCTCGAAGAAGACGATTACGACCTAATGTACGGCTCCGAATCGGGATGGGTGGAAGCTAAAACGTACTGTGATCACTTGGCTTCTTTATCCTCCGATCTCGGTCACATCCCAATCCCTAACACTCCTTGCAACAGGTTATTTTTAACCCCTTTTCATCCCTTGTTTGATTGATTGTATTGATAATACTAATAGAAATTTTGGGTATACAGACAACTCTAGTTTGTCCAGAAGCATATGTGCCTCGAATATATTCAAACTCGAGTCGGATTGAACCCTGCAAAGCTATTCGAACATGTGTTGGTAGACATTTTAGTTTTTCTTAACATATTTGCACCTATTTCATTGCCTTTGTTGACTGTACCTTAATTGTTCTTCTAGTTCATCGATAGACTATCGGTATTTTAAGCAAGTTGAGCTACTAAAACTTTTTTGAGGTTTGCATTTTATGATTCTTTATTGGAGATTGTTGGGGTAAGATTATATAGAATTCCTTTTCCTAATCTTACAAAGCATTTTATGCATAACAAGGTGCTAACACCCAAGTGAGAATTGGTTATGTTTTTCCTGCAAAGTTGTGCTTTGTAGCCGTTTTGTGAATAAGCATATGCTCGACCATTATAAGCAAACGACCCATTGTGTAGCACTCAGTCATAGGTATGTTTTTATAATTGCTTTCTTTTTTGAGTTCCTTGTGAAATTTAGGCGAGCTTTCTTGGGTAACTCTTTTTCTCCTTGGTTGTGTGAAATCAGTGACCTTTCGGTTTGGTGTTTCTCTTGCGATTCGTATCTCGATGCTCAATTGATTCAGCAGTTGCGACCTGTTCATGAGACAGCGTACATACTGAAATTCGGTGAAGCCCCTCCTTTACCGTCCGTTGAATTTTCTGGGACGGAAGATAAACCGGCCAGATATGCCATCAAGCACGATGAAAGGCGTACTTGGTCAGTCCACGTGTGTAAAAATCACTCATCCACGTCTTTCCAAGATTTCAGTGAAAGGATGCTATTTCGGTAAATTCGTCGGAATTGTAGTTTAAAAATTCGAAGTTAGAAGCTAATGCAACTAATGCAAGGTATACCCGACAAGCAAGAGGGGCAGCTAAAACTGCAAATACAATCAGAGGACACCCATCATTTGAACACGACATTAAGATTGCAAGAGTGAAATCACTCAGTTGAGTTTTTGTTTTGTTTTTTACAGGCTTGTGAAAGAGAAATCATAGAGTTCCAAGGGATACAACACAGATGCATCATGCACTATAACAAGCCGACGTCCTCGATGCCTTATTTTTTAAGATGAGGGAAGCATGCGAATAGATCGGATTTAGGATGCTTATTCTCGGCGTGCTCCCGGCACTTCACCTCGGTTGTGGTACACATGAATGTTTGCATACACACCTTGCACTGCTCTCAGCCACCATTATCCACCGGAAGCAACCGTGATACCAACAACAAATCAAGACCCAAGTTTATCAAAGGAAGATAAAGAAATAATCATAGATCATGGGACAAGAACAACAGATCAAGCAAGGGAAGTTTTAAATCTAACAAGTAAACGAAACCCAAAAGAGCATGCACAGGTACTACCTGGATGGACATGGCCTTCTTGTTAGTCTCAAGCTGGCTTCCTATCAAAACAAAACCAGAAAGATCAATGAAAGATTTAACCAAAAGACAAATAAGAGATGGAAAGAAGAAGAAAGGAAGGAACTTTTAAGTATGGTATACCTTTTTCAGCAGCATTTTGCTTTTCCATGTTCTTTTCACGAGCCATCTTTGATTTTTGGCCATTTCCTCCTCCCATAGCGGATTGTTACGAAAAAGAAAGTTTTTTTTTTATCAAATTGTGTTTGAAAACTTGGAAGAAAGATGAGTTAAGAGATGGCAGGTAAAGGGAAATGGGGGGCAGAACACAGACAAGAAAAGGAAGCCCACAAAAGAAGTAGATGCGAATAAAGTATTACAAGTGGGGCAAAACGATAGAGATTAGGAATTGCCTAGAAGGAAAAAGAATAAACAAATTGGTGGATTTAAGAGCGTATCTCTGTTTGTAATAGGGTCAGTTAATTAACCTTGTGATCTCGAGTATGAACAATTCATAATTCTAATTAAGTAGAAAATGTTTAGTGAAATATATTTTGCCCCTTTGCAAAGGTCAAGTAGGGATGGAGTAAGAGTGTAAAGTGATTATAAGATAGTTTTGTGTATAAAATAACTTCCAATATTCGTAGAGGGATAAAAATTAGAAAAATCAGTAATTTAACAATATTTATGCAACAAATTAACAAAAACCACGTGTTTACTAAGAGCCAACAATTTAACAATATTTAAACAATAAATTAACGAAAACCATCAAATCATATCTGTACGTTTATTAAGGTGTCATTGACCTTAACTTCTCAATTTTCGCAAAATACAGGGACGAAACGTGTGATTAAACCATCTTGAGAAAGCTTTAAAACCAAAATTTTGAAAAGAAAAAAAAAAGGAAAACGCGTAGGGCACAGCGGTATCATCTATCTGGTCGTGGTCATCTTCCCCGTCACGCGGCATCTTCTTCTTTTTCTCCATTCTCTCTCTATATCTTTAAACCATTCATTAACCTAACCAAAAAGAAAAACCCCAAAGTGATCAAACCCTAAAAGCTCCCTCCTTTACAGTCTAATCCCGTAGAAGAAGAAAAAACAAGAGAAACCAACAACCAGAAGAAGGAAACCACGAAGGATCTTTACGTACATATAGCGAAGGGGGTTTGAAGCGAAGACAAATCGGGGAAAAAAAGATCAACAACGATGACGATGATGTTGCGATCGCTCGCTAGGCCGCTCGAGCGTTGCCTTGGGTGGAGGGCAGGTGGGGATGCTCTCATGTGGCATGCTGATCTTAAACCCCACGCTTCCGGTGATTACTCCATCGCCGTTGTTCAAGCTAATAAAAGCCTCGAAGATCAAAGCCAAGTCTTTACATCCCTTTTGGTACCTATGTTGGTGTTTATGATGGTCATGGTGGCCCTGAAGCTTCCAGATTTGTCAACAAACATCTCTTCCCTTTTCTCCACAGTAGTTATTCTATGCCCCTTTCACCATTTTTCTTCATTTTTTTTAGATTATGGGAAATGGTCCTCTTCATCTATCTTGTCTATGGAATAATCAAATATCATCTTGTCTTAATCTCTGTGTTTTTACCCTTAATTTATTTGTCTTAATTGCAGAATTTGCTACAGAGCAAGGGGGGTTATCTGCAGACGTGATAAAGAAGGCATTCAGTGCTACTGAAGAGGAGTTTTTGCGTTTGGTGAAACGATCATTGCCTGTTAGGCCTCAAATTGCTTCGGTGGGATCATGCTGTCTTGTTGGTGCTATATCGAATGATGTGTTGTATGTGGCTAATCTCGGCGACTCGAGAGCTGTTCTCGGCAAGAGAGTCTCGGAGGGTGAGAAGAAGAAGGTGGTGGCAGAGAGGCTGTCGACCGATCACAATGTCGGAGTCGAGGAAGTAAGAAAGGAGGTCGAGGCACTTCATCCGGATGATTCTCAAGTAGTGGTGTACACACGCGGAGTATGGAGGATTAAGGGCATAATCCAGGTACAAAACAAATGTATAAGCAACTCAATTATAATAGTTTAGATTGGTTCGTTTTCGGTTCAATGAATTCAATTTGCAGACGCATATTTATTTCCAGGCATTGCTTGTATGCCTTGTATGCACGAAGTTGCAGAAATGCAGGCCCTTGAACCATTATGTTAAGCTCATGTAACTTCAGCATTGGTTTTAATCTTAATCTAGATTAAGATTGTAACAATCATGTCGGTTTCAAGTGTTGATGTACAAAACAAATCTATAGGCAACTCAATTATAATAGTTTAGGTTAGTTGATTTCTCGGTTTGATGAATTCGATATGCGTACACATTTCTTTCCTGTCATTGCTTGTATGCATGAAGTTGAGCAAATGCAGGCCCTTGAACCATAATGCTAAGCTCATGTAACTTCAGCATTGGTCGGTTCTAAGCGTTGATTTTCCGTGTTTGTCTCGTTTTCTTCAGGTGTCAAGGTCCATTGGTGATGTTTACTTAAAGAAGCCCGATTTCTATAGAGATCCAATCTTTCAACGATTTGGGCACCCTGTTCCCCTCAAAAGACCAGTTATTACAGCAGAACCCTCCATCCTTATTAGAAAGCTCAAGCCACAAGACCGATTTCTGATCTTTGCATCGGATGGCCTATGGGAGCAGTTGAGTGATGAAACCGCAGTCGACATCGTGTTCAGAAACCCCCGAGCCGTGAGTATTTTCTTGTTCGTCTTATCAGTTAATGAAAACAGTACCTACTCCGTAGCATTATGTTATTGATTTTTGACTTAGCTTGAATTACTTGCAGGGTATTGCTAAGAGATTAGTAAGAGCCGCTCTTCAAGAAGTCGCGAAGAAAAGAGAGATGAGATATGGTGATATTAAGAAAATCGAAAAGGGAATAAGACGCCATTTCCACGACGATATAACTGTTATTGTTATTTATCTCGATCAATACCAAAGCTCTTCGAATAATAAGATTAAACACAATGCCAGGGTGTGCCGACGGCGCCGATCGATATCTACTCGTACAATGCAGATGAAGGAAACGAAGAAGAGTTGCTTAAAACAATTTCTGAGTACAGACGAAGTTATATAGGTTTAGCGCACCGACTTTTCTTGCGAGTTTCTTCATGTATAGACACCAAATGATACGTGGGATTGGATCTTAAGGTACTTTAAGTCACTGAAGGGTTGGCGATGGGAGGATTCCGACAGAAGCAGGCGGCTGTGGGTGTTTCCCATGAAGTTCTACCAACTCCGATCATCGTTTCTTGTCCGTTGATATGGATGAATCCCACACGAATGGAAGGCAAACGAAACACCATTGCTTTATTATTTTTTTATTGTTCATTGTTGAGTTTATATTTTGCTTTATTACGAACTCTGTCCCTTTGTTTTATGAAAATTGAGTAGTTGATCATTCTACCTAATTTATTAAGATTTGATCCTCATGCTTATGAAAATTGAAAAATTAATTCAATTGTGTAATATTGCTAAATCTTATTAGCAATAATTTAACCCAAAAAAGACAATAATTTAAATTTGTGTGTTTACTGGGTTGAGCAACAAAAATTGAAAACTGATCCGAACAAGTGTTTGGACGATTTATTCATAAAACCAAAAATAACTTAATTATTCAAATCGAATTCAGTTTTTCACTTAATTTATAATTAATTTTAATTATTTTAATGTAAAAGCAAGTATTTTATATTTAAGAATAAAGAAATAACTTGAAAATATATATACAAATTAATTTATTTACTTAGAAAAATTAGATATTTTATGATTTTTTTAAAATTCTATCAAATAATGTTAAAAAGTTAAAAAAATTATTTTATCAAATTATAGACTTGCTGCCAAAAAAAAAACCAGAATAACCCTTTTTTAATTTTGTTTAATTGGAGGAGATACTATTTTTTACTTTGGTTGTCGACCGTCGGTTTTCTTTTCTCTTTGTTTATTTTTAAATTTTTTGAATAAAAATAATTATACTTTTGTGACACGTTTTTCTCTGTCTTTATAATATGTTTTTCTATGTCTTTGTAGTACGATTTTCATTTTCTTTCTTGGTTGTTCGATCTTTCTTTTTATTTTATGTTTTTTCAAGGTTGAATTTGACAACGCCTCGACTGATCAAGATGACTCTTATTTGTAATCATATTGATCTTCCTTGATATTGAGCCTCAAATTGAATTTGGATACGTGATTTTGCGTTCATTAATATCATGACGCTCGACTCTGATTACGGTTTTCGATGGACTTTCAATAGCTTAATCCCTTTATAGTTTGTTTACCGATGCAGTCAAATTTGTTTGTATCTAATTTTTTTCCCGAATCTTTTGGTTGGGTTTTTAACATTTTTCCATGTATAGTCCTTACATGATCTAAAGTGACTAGTTTTAATGTATTAGTTTACAATGATAGTTTTAAACCCTTATTGTAATTTTATATATTTTACTTTTAATAAGACTAGCGATTTATATTAAAAAAATTTTTATCAAAATAAATATAAATCTCAAAATTTAAAATTAATTGAGAAAAATAAAAAATTAATTTTAACCGAATTGAAAATGATAAACTATTATTATTATTATTATTATTATTATTATTATTATTATTATTATTATTATTATTATTATTATTATTATTTAAATTGATCAAAACCAAATCGTATATGTCTACTACTAGTTGAATTAACTTGTTAATTTTGATAAATTAAAACAAATGGAGGCTAACAACGACAAAGTTGGGTTGTAGATTGTGTCTAAATCAATGTTGGAATAAAATTTGTGAGACTTGTTCCTTAAATCCACGACATGCGAATTTTGGCAACTAGCATTACCCGTATCACCTAACTTGTTAGGTCAAACTAACCAACCAAAATGATAAGCCCATTTGATAATTATACAAGTTTCAATTATATTTTAATTCTAATTCTTAATCATAAATTATTTTTATAGAACCTATCGAATGTGATCAATGGTTAAGATGAATGTTTGTTTTTTTATGTTTTGAGCTATGACTATAGGATGTGTGTGCATTATCAATCGAGACCCGAGACATAATATCAACTAGGACTTTGAAATTTTAACATATGGTGAAAAAATTCAACAAATATAATCAATTCTTAAATCTAAGGAACAATACTGTGAGATTTCATCTTATTAATCCATGAACCGAAGGATGTTTTCGAGTTCCTAAACCCGACGAATCCGTGCTCTTGCTCTTATTCATACTATCCAACAATGACTTCCCGAAAAGCACCGAATCGGTGAACCGCCATATGTCGCCGTCGTTCAATTTTGTCGGCGAGAGACGGTTGTGTCTAACGATCTCATCCCACACGGGACCTTGTCTTTCATCATCTCAACCAAGCTCAGCTTCTCATCGGTTTTCGTATCCGTAATGTTTGATTCCGAACTGGTCAGCCAACACTTTCCATAAGTGCTTCCACTTAAACACATCTCCGTTGCTGCATTAAGGCTTCGTTCTTCGCGTGTCGGTTCGTCGTCCCCATATCTGATGTTCCGCGATCAAATCCGCGTCGGATGCATCCCAGTATCCGTCCCATGCTTGCCGGTTCCCAGGAAACATCAATGGCTTGCCTTCGTGCTTACATATCGAAGCATAAACACATAAACTACGAACAATGTTCATCGAACTAAAAGGCGAAAACCCGAAAACAAGTGCAGGCCTATGAACTGACCATGTCAATCTATCCTTTCCCTTAACTTCTTCGAACAAAACATCCTCAAGCGTATAACAAAAATTCAACGACTTAAGCCTAGGAAGATCCTCGTGAAAAGGAGGATCATGGGGCTGAACTCGAACCTTGCCGATCAAATCCGATGGACCGGTGTAGTGCCGACGACCGGTTTGCAAGCATATAGTTTCAACTTCGGCGCATTCGGGACCACGGCTTCAACACATTGCGTAACATAGTGCCATAACAATGCAGTTCTCGGCTTCACTAGATTTCTTATCCCATGCTACATAAAAAACATGAGTAACATCATCGAGCTTTTAAACTCAGACTGACACGATCATCAGATGAAAGAAGAAGGGAGTTGATTGAACTTTACCTTGGCAGCACCGATGGCTCCTGCCCACCACAACTCATTTTGATGTTGTGTAAGAAAGCTGAAACCTGGTGTCTGAAACTTGGTCTGCTCTGTCTTTGTTTTTAGTCATATTCTTCGACAAAGTGACGTGTAGGAATTAACAGACTGAGAAAAGCAGGTAGAGTTTGACCATCTGAGATTCTTTCCATAACTGAATGGGAGCGCGAATCGGTACATGTTTTCTTCAGCCTACTCTTAAAGACCAAGGCTGAGCCACCTTGGAAACACATCGGTATATGATCATGCTGGCGTGGAGAACGCAGCTTCCACATAAACATCCTTATCTACCAACTGATCCCTCTCATTCTTTATGATTTGTTTGTGCCATATAAAATGTTGCCTTGGGTTGGCGGTTTGGTCTTCTGGTTTTTTCCGGTTGGCATGATTGACCCTACCTGCATACCTTTTGGGTGCTATAATATTGCAGTTCTCTTAAAAGGGTTTGATAGCCGCTAAAACTTATAAAATTTCGAAGGGGTCGAGGTTGAAACTTATTTTAAGAGGACTAAAATAATAAGTAATTTTTAGAAGGGGCCAAAAATCTGAATTTTTCCATTTAGTGAAAGTGCTAAACAGGGTTAAATTGTATTTGGTATTTGATTCCCCTTTCAACCAGGGAGGCTGCTACCTGCCCCTTTTTACTTCGTCCCTGGTGATAAGGATGGACATAGACCTGGCTTGACAAATTTAGAAAAAAAAATAAGTTTTTTTTTTAAAAATAAAATAAATGCGGATCAAATTTTAATTAAGATAAAGTTAGATTGAGTTCAAATTTAATGTGAAAATTCCTGATTTAATCTGAGATAATAGTATATTTATCATTTATATATTTAAAGATAATCACACACTTTTTATTTTTTTTTAATTCGGTCCCTATTTTACTGAATAATTTTTTTATATATAATTGTGTAAGGTACGAGTTTTTATCTTAATATTTGGATCAGATAAAATTACCATAAACCCGAGTCGGATCAAGTGATAGGTAAAAAACTATAATACTCAGGTTAATTTTCAGTCAAAAATCTGACCAATAACCATCCCTAGATATAGCTGATGGTCCGAAGCTTAGGATGAAACCACAGGAAGAAACAAATTGTTTATCTTTTAAATTGGCAGAAATTAAGAAATGTTTAAACTAAAAATAGAGAATAAGGTTTGATTCGTCTAATTTTAAAATTAATAGGGATTTAAAGAATAATTAGAAAAGTTGAGAGATCAGGACTTAATTTCATTGATTTCAAAACTAATAGGGACTTAAAGTGTAATCGAACCGGAAATCCAACGTGCAAAGATATCGAACATTCCTTTAGATAACAAATTTGCAGAGACAATGCGTTTAACTTCACATGGTGATTTCTATTGACTGGCATAAAAAAAGCAATTGTGCATACCTTCTTTCTCCCCTGTTTCATCGGAGCTATATACTACAAACTTCCCCCCAGCTAGATGCATAGCTAAATACAGCTCTAGGCATTCGAAAAGCTGAAGACCACGTCGGAATCATGCAAAACACGACCGCATTCCTTCTTGCTCTCCGTGTTCAAATCGATAAACATGACGACAAACAGTGGTAACACAGCCGTGAAAGGTTTTCTTTACGAAAGACAACCTTCTATGACCATTTTTCCATGATACGGTCTGATAATCTAATTTCCTCGTCCTTGGAAATATGCGGATCTAGCTTCGGAAGGCTGCTGATAAACATCTAGCCTCATCCCGACGATAAGTTTACAATATCCATCGACTATGGAATTGTATGTATTCTGGTTTGGTTTACAGCCGTGCTTAATCATGAATCGGACAACATCGATGGCCTCCTCGAACATAGAATCAGATGCATAACTTGCGACAAAGGTATATAAGTGATCACATCTGGGACAAGGCCAGAATCACACATTTCCAAAAATATCCGTGAAGCCTCTTTCATTCGACCATTTCTACAATAGGCATAGATAACAGTTGAACGAGATTATATCGGGTTTAATTCCTTTCACCAAAACTTCCCTTAAGATTTTTTCCGATTCCTCGAAATTTTCAGAGCGGCTATACATATACATCAAACTATTGTAGGTTGTCAAGCTCGGACTATAGCCACTCTCAGTCATGAAGTTCAAGATCTCATTTGTCTTGGAAAACCATCTGCCTCCTGCCATATATTGAGAGCATGGCATTTAGAGTAGTTATGTCGGGCGGAAATCCTTTCTCCTCAATTCCAAAAAAGCACGCTCCGTGTCCACGAGAAGGTCACATTTACTATTAACCAAAACAAGTCTTTAGGAGCACAGCATGAGGTTCG